TAATATTACCTCAAACTGTATAGAGACAAATGTGCTGTCATTGGGACCCTGCCCAATGGTCAGGAAGTACAAATAGTTAACAGGTTAATATCGCAGACAATTGGGCTGCCAGACCTCTTTCTTAAAATGTCATTGGCTGTTTCTCAATTCCAAGAATGCAGAGAACGAACTTGCGTTCTTGTGGAGACCGGTCTTGCCAGGTGTCCTTGGAAGAACGAACTCAGGAGACCGCGAGGGCAGAGAATGCGTCCTTTGAGAAATGAGATGCTGCGTTCTTCTTGATGGTCATGTGACCTTCACGCGTTTATTATGGTAAATTATTTAAACATTACAGCATTCATACACCAATTTATTGTTTCCCTCCTTTTCAAAATATATACTTTGCTTAAAAACAATATATACTTTGCACAATATAAAAAAAATGATTTTAATACGAATTTCAGCAAACAAACACCCTTAATGTGTTTGTTCCTTTATTAAGATGTCCATGGTGATGTTTAGTTTCACCGTTTCATTTAGGGAAACTCCTGAGGTAAATAAGTGATATCTCTGAACTTTAATAATAAATCTAGATAAAATGCTGCGCTTCCCACCTCCAGCCGCAATGACTTCTGGGACTTCCAGAGCGAGTTCGGTGCTCACGTCTGCATTGGTGTGTCCTCGATATCAAGATCACATCCGGGAAGTTTCATGCATCCTCCGTTCTTGCGGTCTTGAATATTGGAACTGAACTTTGACAGCTGATGATGACGTTACACGAGAACACGAGGACACAAGACCGCTGAAGAACAGCCATTGTCTTAAAAATGGAAAACAATGTGTCTAACATTTTTAGTTGTATGCTATTACATTTTAACCTAGAGTTTATACATTTGTAATTCCACAAAAAAAACTTTATGGACACATGCTTTATAGAAACTTTTACCCACAGCATAGTACAGCACAATGGATATGGTCGAAATTGAGTTCTTTTAGCAGTATAGTACTGTTTTAATTGAAATTGGTATGCTATTATCTGTTTTACACCCATGTGGTCATTTGTACCTTTTCCCACTACTGTAGACCTGATGCCACTCAAAGAGGAGAGTCAAGATCAGAAAGAAATTAAAGAGAAGGATCAACAAAAGGAAATATATAAAGAAGAACCAAAACAGACGAAAACCTCTTCAGAAGGGACAACCCAGAAGACCAAAACTAATACCTGCCATCTGTGTGGAAAGAGTTTCTCCTGTAAACTAAATCTTCAAAAACACTTGAAGCTTCACACTGGAGAAAAGCCTCACACTTGCCATCAGTGTGGAAAGAGTTTTGCTAGGAAACAATCCTTTACAAACCACATGAGGATTCACACTGGAGAAAAGCCCTACACTTGCCAAGAGTGTGGAAAGTGTTTCACTTGTAAAGCAAACCTTACCAACCATATGCGAGTTCACACTAAAGTAAAGCCTCACACTTGCCAACAGTGTGGAAAGAGTTTCCCTTGGAAACAAACCCTTATCATCCACATGAGGGCCCATACTGGAGAAAAACCTTACCCCTGCCAACACTGTGGAAAGAGTTTCACTTGTAAACAGTACCTTACAGAACACATGAAGATTCACTCTGGAGTAAAGCCCCACGCTTGCCATCAGTGTGGAAAGAGCTTCAGTTGTAAACTGAACCTTAAAAAACACAGGAGGACTCACACTGGAGAAAAGCCGTACAGCTGCCATCAGTGTGGACACAATTTCACTAGTAAAGTAAACCTTAAAAACCACATGAAAGTTCACACCGGAGAAAAGCCTCACACCTGCCAGCAGTGTGGAAAGAGTTTCGCTTGGAAACAAAACCTTACAGAGCATATGAGGATTCACACTGGAGAAGAGCCTCACAGTTGCCAACAGTGTGGAAAGAGTTTCGCCCGTAAAAAAAGCCTTAAAACTCATATGAAGCTTCACACTGAAGAAAATCCTCACACCTGCCAACTGTGTGGAAAGAGTTTCACTTGGAAACAAAACCTTACAGACCATATGAATAGTCACACTGGAGAAAAGCCTCACATCTGCCATCAGTGTGGAAAGAGTTTCTCTTGGAAAAAAACCCTCGCAGAGCATTTGAAGGTTCACAGTGGAGAGACGACTTATCAGCTAAGTGTGGTGAGAGTTCCAGATGTAAACGTTCCCCTAATTCTCATGTGATCCTTCAAAATGGATAAAAGCTTCACACCTGTGGATTGTGTGGGAAGAACTTTACATGCATGAAATTTCTCAAGACACATGAAGATTCACACTGGACTTAAGTTGTTTAAGTTTTTAAGGTGGAGGGAGAAGAAATACCATGAAAGGATTCACATTCAGAGATAACCGAATCAGGAGTCCTTGTTGAGTTTCATAAACAGGAATCATTTAATTACTCACACCAGAGGGAAGGGTGCCATCACAAGTTGCAATTGCATGCAGCCAAAAAAAAACCTCTAGTGAGCAGAGAAGCTATGATGTGAACGCAAAAGGATGATCCCCCATCGCTTCCTCTGACTCTGTTGGTCGTCTGGTGTCTTGAAATTTTATCTTACCTTTTAGATCAAGGGTCACCAAACTTGTCCTGGAGGGCCGGTGTCCTGCAGATTTTCCAACCCTAATCAAACAGACCTGAACAAGCTAATCAAGCTCTTACTAGATACACTTGAAACACCCAGGCAGGTGTGTTGAGGCAAGTTGGAGCTAAACTCTGCAGGGCACCGGACCTCCAGGACAGAGATTGGTGACCCCTGCTTTAGATTATGTTGTCAACACTGTTCAAATGAGTCTGAGGTTGGGGATTGGGGCCCAACCCTACTTCTGTTTTCTTAACCCCTTCCCCTTGGCCCTCTTGCCTTGTTTTAGTAAATAGTGCTATTCGTATGTAATTAGATGCTTGGACATTTTGATTTTACGCACTTCATTTATGTGTGAAATTCACTTCACAGCAGAGGCAAAATTACTCCAGTTTTATTTCAAAATGTCTGACATGGGTTTTGTTGAGAGGGTAGCTGTGCTGTATGTGATACGGAAGGCAGAAACATGTCATGGACTTATTTAGCAACACTTCCGGGTCCATCAGATCCTTCAGAGTTGCTCTTAGCTTGATGAGTTTTACCAACTCCTCCAGGAGGTACACATGGATGATGGGCACTACTACAGCAAGATCCTAATGGCCTGTTTCCTCTAAGCAGTACAGTACCATACCACTCAGGGGCAGACTGGCCATAGGTCCATCTGGCCTGCCACCATGACTCTCAGGTGGGTGGCCTGGGGGCCAGAGCCACTTCCCCTTTTCCCCTCATTAGCTGAGGTGCCCCTCTCAGCCTGTAGTTCAGCAAGCTGAACTGCCGCTCTAGGCAAAGGATGACCACGCCACCCTCAACCTAAAAGTGAAAACGAAAGGTTAGCAAAGTGAAGAGCGGGGGAAGGGGTTGTCGCAGATGAAATTGAAGACCTTGGGGGTTGCGGATATAACTGAGGACGTGGGTGGTGAGGGAGGTGTCGTGGACGCTGCCCTCTCTATTCTGCCGCCTAGGTCGCCTCTATGGACGTGGAGGCCCTGACTGTGGTAAGGTTGGTAAACCAGGATGGCTTTACGCATATTGTTTCTTACATCTTTGATTATTTATCAAGTTATGTTTAAGGGCCTAGATCAGGGGTGGCCAACCCTGTTCCTGGAGAGCCACCTTCCTGCAGATTTCAGTTGCAACCCATATCAAACACACCTGCCTGTAATTATCACTTGGTGTTCAGGTCCTAATTAATTTTTCAGGTGTGTTTGATATGGGGAGCAACTGAAATTTGTAGGAAGGTGGCTCTCCAGGAACAGGGTTGGCCACCCCTGGACTAGATAATATGATGACCTGAGTGTCAGCAATTGTTTCCTGAGTTATTTACAGTTTTATGTGTAATCTTTTTAGTCCATTCCTTTGTATCCGTGTTTTAACCAATCAGGTTAAAACTCCTTAATGTTTGATGCAGTTAAGGTAGTTATGTTAGAGTATAATTGATTTTGTTTTCAGATTATTAGCAGAGCGGTCTACGTACTCTGTGTGAGTGTTAAAGCTGACTTCTGATGATGAAACTGCAAACTGTCTGCAATAAACTTTCTGTGATTGAATCTCTGACTCCGGCTCTTCATTTGACGAACTGGTAATTTTGGGTTAAAACTGTCTGTTGCATTTGTGCCAATAGCTTAGTGGTTGGTGCGCAGATTTTATATATATATATATATATATATATATATATATATATATATATATATATATATATATATATATATGTACTTAACAATCTGATCCCATTCCAAAACTATTCTTATTTCCTCTTCTGTTTTCACCTTTACTAATTCACATTTTAAGCAGAATTAGAGTTTCTATGCTTTTGCTAAATCATTGGTATGACAGCACTGGCACCATTTAAAAAAAAAATATTTATTTAAAATATATTCTGGATGAAATGGCTTTGATTATAAAGAGCACCATATTACAAAGAGCAAATATGAAGAACGGTCATATTCTAAAAACAATACAAAACATAACAATTGTTTTATTTATGTATAATATTAAGGAAATATTAAGGAAAATATATGCACGTTCAAAATAATCACCTTGTAATAATAGTTTAATTTTCTAAATATTTCTCGAGTGCTGTTTAGTGTTTTCAGTAATAGGTGGTTTGTATTTTGAGATTTTGGACACGGGACTTTTATCTCGGCTTGTCGATGACGTCATCACGCCGTGCCGCGTTCCATTTCTGTTGTGAATCTACTCGAGAAAGGTTTGTTTATAAACATTTCATTGTTTGTATTAATGTATCACGCTCATTCAACACTGTAGCTGTTGAACGATATATAAGTAACTTTATTATTAGTGAATATATTGATGAATGTAATGTTTTATTAAGCGTTAATGAACGTTATTCTGCCTCTTCCACATCTGAATAACAGCAAAGCTGCATTTATTTTCTGTCTTTATATCATAAATCAGTTCATCATCAACACCAAATCAGTCGCTGGAGAACAGAGATGAGGACAAGAGACTTTTATTTTAAACTGAGACAAAGCCAGAGATTGAGTCATTTTCCTCTGTTAATGATGCTCTTCATCTTGTCCAAACCCACAGAACAGCAGATTATTATAAAGATGGCGTTTATTAAAGAGGAGAGTGAAGACATCAAGATTGAAGAAACATTCACAGTCAAACATGAAGAGACTGAAGAAGCTTTCAGAGTCAAACATGAAGATCCTGAGGAACAAACAGGTTGGTTTTTATTAGGGCTGCATCTATCGATCATTTTAATGACTGATTAATCTTCCACAGAAATTGATCAATTAATCGATTAATATGGAGTTCTGTGGAGTAAAACAGCAGGTTATATTGTGTGTTCAGAAATGCACTGACTGTGTTCTCAGAGCTGCTGAGGGATTTGTTTTGATAAGTGCACAAAGGTCTCGCGTGCACACACACACACACATTAGACTTTATATTAAAGAATCTTAGGGTCTGAGTGTCCATGCAGCAAGCCTATGTGTGTGTTGTGTTTTATTATCATTTGTTTACATTAATTTAATTGTTTAGTGTAATCATTTGATTATAGTCATTTATATAATTATTTTTATTTAATAATTAAATTCATTAGTTAATGATTTGATTGTTATTTTTGATTGTTTTTACATTTTATAATTAATATTTTCCTATAATTATTGATACATTATTATTTCATTTTTGCACATTTATAATCTTATGACTGTGTGAATTCAAGTGACACTCGTTTTCACGAGTAAGAGATGAGAGAATGTCTCCAGTTCAAGGTCTGTGTTGTCTGTGGACAGTGCTGTTAAGCAGCAAAATTAAATAATCGCTTAAATGATCTAAGATGATTGGCAGATTCTGGATCTTTTAATCTTGATAACTGATCTCTGGCTAATTTGGTTCTTCAAAAAAGTTTGTGAATCAGATTAAAATGTCTGGATGAACTGATCTGAGATCGATTCGTGTGTTGTGAAGGACAGATCTATCCATCCTCCAAATCATGATCAGTGATGCAACGATTGGCTGACGGCACAGCAGCGTAATGACATCATCTGATTAATATTCAATTATTCATGTGAGCAAAATTACATCAAATTCGCAGTAAACGGTTTGTTAAATATGATACGCAATAACTTTAGACTTTGTTAAGGGCTGCATGTTTGGCATGCATGTTTTACAGTTAGAGCGGATTTTCCTTATTATAGTAGCCATAGTAGTATTATAGTAGCCGTTTTTTAATTGGTGTAAAGAATAACTGGATGTTTACAAAAGCTTTTTGAGATTGGTAAAGGCGTCTGCAACTTTTGTGAAGCATCAAATCACCGTCATATTAACTGTCAAAACAGGTTTATGACTCCATAAATGTATTATTGCTTTTAAAAAAAGTCACATATTGTGCATTTCTATGATCATACACAAATTGTACTAAAGCGATTAAAAAGTTCATATCAATAAGTTTTCTCTTTGCTCCACCAGGTGGCAGTCTTTGTACTTTCATTACGGGGGTGCAGATTGCATAAGTTTTATTAATATATATAACTTTATTTATTTTATTAATAGCTATGACTTATATATATATAAATATAGTTTAAAAATATTCACTATTTTCCCAAGTGTATGTAACTACTACTGTAAGAAAATGTCAGAATTCGGTACATACTTTATGTATTAACTTTGCTTGAACTGACCCAATCTAGTCCTGTTTATGTGAACTGAACTTGCTTCCGACCAGGTTTGAGCTACCAGAACTGTTGCTATGACAACAACTCTCAGATGTCAAATCGTCATTAACCAATTACAGCTAACTGAGTACAAAGAGCTGACCCCTGGTCAGATGAAGTCTGAGCATTGAATCATATGCAGCTAATATTATTCAAGAAACTCTGCTCTTTCTTTATCATGATTTCGTCTCCTGCTTCTCATCTCTGATTTTCTCAGCCAACTCCTATATTTATAGAGGACTGTTTATTCAGTTGAATACTGGTGTCCAGGGCTAGATCTTATTTATCTGGAACAGAGAGTGTGATCTAACAATATAAAAGGCAGAAACAAAGCTTTTTTGTATATCAACTGATAATCAACAGTACAATTTAACAAATTACTTGTTCCCAACAGGGGAAGCAGTTCTGAAGAGGGTGGCACTTAGGATGGAAAATGTTATGCCTCTTGAGCCAACTGTCTGATCTTATGCAAGGCAAATCGCGAGAGTCAGCAATTTGGTTTTTAGATCCAGGAATGTGCTTTGCAGTTAAAATTAGTGGAAAGTTGGATGGCGTAGGCATTTGCAAAGACGTGCTTGGGATGTCTCTGGAATCAAAGGTATGAGGAATAGTAGGAACGATAGGAGGAGCTGCTGACGTTAGTCTTAGCGTCATCAACAGAGGCATCCACAAGCTGGAATGCCAGGGGATGGGAAAACCTGGGGAAGAGGGAGTTGGTAGTGGAGGCAGCCTCATGCTAACATTGGCTGTGGGAATCAGAAGGGTATGAGGAAGCAGGGCAGGAGTCTGGGCCTACTCTTTCTGTAGTGACCTTGGGCTTGAGTTGGATGGAGAGGCTGCTGGCCAAGGATGAAACTGAGGATGCTGTTAGCCGAGGCAAGCTCACACTTTACTGGTTGCTTGTGGAAGTACATGTTGGTATAGCATTGAGAACGGCTTACGGGGATTAAGAGTCGACATCCTCCGGACCCAGGGCTCGTCCCTGATCCACTAAAGGCCTCCTACTGTTGCTTGGTTTTGAAGACTTGTTTTGGTCGGGAAGTTGATAAGGACCACTGCAGCCCTTGCTTGACTTCTTTGGGGCTTCGAATGGTGGAGTGACGGAAGGAAGAGGTGCTCCGGTCTGCAGGGAGTTGTACATGGGTAGGAGATTCGCCTTGGTGCTATGGCATGGAACTCTGACGCCTGACCTTGGTTTGTTTGAAACCTACAGGTAAGTGTGTTGGAAATAAACTGTGCAGTTTGAGTTTGAGACCCCCTGATACAGACAACAGGATAATGTCTCGGACACTTACCCTGCCAGACCCGAATTTTCTCATAATGTCGTTGTCTTTACTCTGAAATGTAAAACAATGTATATAGCATTTCCACAAAATACTTATGCATACAGGCTTCATAGAAAGTGCTACCCACAGCATAGTGCAGTCTATGGGAAATGGCAAAAATGTACCAAATTGCATTGAATTCTTTTAACAATATAATATTGTTTTAATTGTAAAATGGTATGTCATCTGTTTTACACCCATTGGGTTGCATTTGTATTTTCTCCACTGCAGAACTGATGCAACTCAAAGAGGAGAGCGAAGATCAGAATGAGATGGAAGAGAAGAATCAACATGAGGAAGTATCCAGAGAAGAATCAGAACAGACAAAACCGTCTTCAGAAAGAACAGCCCAGAAGACCGAATCTAACATCTGCCATCAGTGTGGGAAGAGTTTCACTTGTAAACAATCCTTTACAAACCACGTGAGAATTCACATCGGAGACAAGCCTTACACTTGCCAACACTGTGGGAAGAGTTTCAGTTGTAAACAATACTGTAAAAACCACATGAAGGTTCACAGTGGAGAAAAGCCCTACACTTGCCAACACTGTGGAAGGAGTTTCACTCGTAAACAAACCTTTATAAACCATATGAGAATTCACACTGGAGAAAGGCCTTATACCTGCCAACACTGTGGAAAGAGTTACACTCTGAAACATATACTTACAGAACATATGATGATTCACACTGGAGAAAAGCCGTACACCTGCCACGAGTGTGGAAAGAGCTACACTTGTAAACGATACCTTACAGAACATATGAGGGTTCACACTGGAGAAAAGCCTTACACTTGCCAACAGTGTGGAAAGAGTTTCACTTGCAAACAAAACCACAAAAACCACATGAAGTTTCACGCTGATGAAAAGCCTTACGCTTGCCAATACTGCGGGAAGAGTTACATTAAGAAACATGTCCTTAGAGAACATATGAGGATTCACACTGGAGAAAAGCCTTGCATTTGCCACGAGTGCGGAAAGAGTTTCACTTGTAAACAATACCTTAAAAGCCACATGAAGAGTCACATTGGTGGAAAGCTTAACATTTGCCATCAGTGTGGAAAGTGTTTCACTTGGAAACAAAACCTTACCAAGCATATGAGGATTCACACTGGAGAAAAGCCTCACAGTTGCCAACAGTGTGGAAAGAGTTTTACTTGTATACAAACCCTTAAAAAACACATGCAGGTTCACACTAGAGAAAAACCTCACACCTCAGTGTGGAAAGCCATCAGTATGGAAAGAGATTCTCTGGGGGGGAAAAACCTTACCGAGCATATGAGGAATCACAGTGGAGAGAAGACTTCTATCTGCTAAGTGTGGACAGAACTTCAGATATACACAATCTCCTAATGCTCATGTGATGCTTCATAATGGATAAAAGCCTCACACCTGTGGATTGTGTGGCAAGAACTTTACATGCATGACATTACTTAAGACACCCGGAGATTCACACTGGAGATGAGCTGTTTATATGTTCTCAAGTTGGAAGGAGAAAGTAAAACCTAATTACCATGAGAGAATTCACATTCAGAGATAACCGATTTAGGAGACATCAGTGTTGAGTTTCATAGACAGGAATCATGTAATGACTCTCACCAGAGCATGAGGATGATCCAACATTGCTTCTTCAGGCTGAGCTTTACTGGATTCCATGGGGAATCAACCCCAAGCCCAAGCCTGGGTCCATGGTGGGGTCCCGGTTGCGGCATATTGGGTAATGTCCCAGTCCCAGTCATCCCAAGTCTCCTGCAAGTTCCAGGAGTCTCCCGCAAATGCATAGAGACTCCCGGGTGCCCGCAAACGAATTATAATATCCTGGAAATCGCACGTCTCCCGCCTGGTACTTAAATAGTCTCCACCGCATCCCTCCCAGCTCTTCAGGTACATCGGGCGCAACTCAACCCCACCGCTTTTCAGCTTGCAACTCACCCCCACCGCTCTTAAGGTACGTCGCGCGCAACTCACCCCTACCGCTCTTCAGATACGTCGCGCGCACCACTCTTCACACCACCACCAAACACCACCCCCCCCCCCACCCCCCCAGCCCTACAAAAAGGCTATTCAGGCAGCCACTGTCCCGCGACCTCCCGCAAATCATCTCTGTGTCCCCCAGAAATGACTTTTCCCAACTTGTAATATCTGCAGTCCTAACTTTAGTTTGAAGCATTTACACTACCCTAAACATCTTTCAGGCACTTAAACCCGTCCATCATGATAAGGTTCTGGTTCAAGGTGAGGTAGCACTGGTTTAATCTACCTATCTAGAGTTTTCATTCAGAAAATGGATACGCACATACATGGGGAAACTGTATGCAGCTTCTTGATGACAGCGTGCATCAAGCACGTCACATGATTATTGATTGTGGTGCAAATTGTAGTCGGACATATTTGGATTAAATCTTAATGCGTCTTGAGTATCAGTCAAAATTGCATAATCTCACAGTGACTGCAACTGACTAGAAAGCATCTAGTCAGAACAGGGATTTAAATCAGTTCAACTATAAGTTATAGTTTTGCATTGTTAGATTACTTTTTATGTCAGTTCGGTTTTAAATTGACTTTATACTATTTATACTGCTTTTTCTTTTAATGTGATTCTTTCATTTCAGGCAATAAAAATGTCTTTTGACCAATAGTTTTAGGCTTAGTTTAAATTTTAATTTAGTGAAGTATTTAGGGGGCCAACTGAATTCATATTTCCAATTAATTAATTTTGACTGATTCCATTAAAGAAATGGTGTAAATCTCAAGTGATTCAAACAGTACACATCAACATTATTTGTTGTAAGTTTACAGGGACAGTGTGAAATACAAAAACAAGTCAAAAAAAGGGTCAAGAGTCCCACATTTCATTCAGCACGTGAGCGGTGGTATGTACATGTGTAGCCACACAATGACTGGAGGAAGAATGGCATATTTTACTAGATTTATAATATATTTATAATAAACTTATTAACATTATTTACTAGATCTTCTATGTTAAGCTGCTTTGGCACAGTCTACATTGTAAATGCACTATAGAAATAAAGATGAATTGAATATTCTAGAAACTTCCAGGCAGATGTGTTAAAGCAAGTTGGAGCTAAACTCTGCAGGACACCAGCCTTCAAGGTCTTTCACCTTTGTTTTTGTTTTTTTCTCACTTGAACAACTAAATGAAAATGTAAGTCTATTTAATTGATTGTATTTCAATTAAACTACAACATTGATGCTGTAAAAGGAACTTCATGAAATTGAAATAGTCATTTTAACCTTTCACTGGAAGCATATTGCTGGCTGCAAAACATTAGCGCATGTACCCCATTGGAGGCTTGAACACTGAGTTTGCTCGCTTCATTCGCAAGTGAAATTTACTTCACAACAGACTTGAAATGATTCCACTACTAGAGCAAGCTCCTGCTATGACAACGGTCCTGAGAGTCTCCTGTTTTCCACATCTCCTGACACCCTCCAGTTTTTCTTCTGAAGACGTTCTGCAATTCCATCCGCCCTCGCCCGGTCCTCATCTTTGTTTTTTTTTTACAATTTTTGCAAGTACTTACAATAATGACTAAAGAGCATATTTATCTTTTATTATATTTATCTATTAATTTATTTTAATCAGATTCCCTTTGCCTTGTAACTTTTCTGTGTTATTAAAATAATGCTGTGGCTTTTTCAAATTTCTATATGTAATTATTTGTATTCTGTTTTTATTGCATTGCAATTTTAATTATTAGGTTAGGGTTAGAAAAAAAAAAATATATATACACTTGAATATAAAATATACTATTTTATTATAATTTTTATAATGTTTTCCTATTTGCATTTTAATACAAAGATACCTGGTATCAAAACAGCTCTTGATTAGTCAATCTCAGATCTCACACTCACACACATTTTTAAAAGTAGTTATCAATTTTTCCATTAATGTTTAGACACGGGACTTTTATCTCGGTTTGTCGGTGATGTCATCAGGCTGCGCCGTGCTCCGTTTCTGTTGTTAAGCTACCCGAGAAAGGTTTGTTTTTAAATAAATTTCGATCGATTATTTGTATCATTTTTAGGCAAGATTACATGAGATGTAAAATTAGGTAAACATATTCTTGAATGTAATGTTTTTTAAGGGTTAATGAACGTTATTCCACATCTGAATAACAGTAAAGCTGCGTTTATTTTCTTTCTTTATATCATAAATCAGTTCATCATCAACACCAAATCAGTCGCTGGAGAACAAGAGACTTTTATTTTAAACCGAGACAAAGCCAGAGATTGAGTCATTTTCCTCTGTTAATGATGCTCTTCATCTTGTCCAAACCCACAGAACAGCAGATTATTATAAAGATGGCGTTTATTAAAGAGGAGAGTGAAGACATCAAGATTGAAGAAACATTCACAGTCAAACATGAAGAGACTGAAGAAGCTTTCAGAGTCAAACATGAAGATCCTGAGGAACAAACAGGTTGGTTTTCATCCTTAAACCTCAACATTTGATCCTCATTCAGATCTGCAGCTCTACACTGATCAATATTTCTCAGTAAACTGCTTTATCTGACATCATATTCATCATATTTAACATCCGCTGATTATAACTGCACAAATCGCCAACTTGTTTGGGTAAATGTTCGTCTTTTAAACATGATGAACTGATTAGAGTAAAACTGCCAGTCAGAACTGAGGACTGATGCTGGTTTGCTTTTCATGTGGAGTGTGAAAGAGTTATTTTAGGATTTACTGCTGTCCCGTGTTGAGAGAAATCAGAGGTTAGTGCAGACGTGTCTGTGTACGATGTGTAAACTCTAGTTTTAGATTTAATATAAACATGTATTTACTCATCTCTCTTGCACAAAAACAGATCCAGTATATCCCTTAAAGCAGGGGTTCTCAACCTTTTTCAGGCCCACCTGTCTGACGTTTTGTCTAAAATGTTTTTTAAGAAATGTTCATTTAAACCTTTATTTATTAACAAATATTACATTATATTAAATTATTCATTCATTCATTTTCTTTTCAGCTTAGTCCCTTTATTGTTCAGGGGTCGCCACAGCAGAATGAACCGCCAACTTATCCAACATATGTTTTATACAGTGCATGCTCTTCCAGCTGCAACCCATCTCTGGGAAATGTATTATAATATAACAAATATATATAATAAATTTGTTGTGCCTTTTATTATTTACTTTTATCAACGTTAACGCTGACGCCCTGTGTATAGAGGAGAACAGACCAAAATAATTGCTATTCTCAATTGCATTGTTTTTGTGATCGCTGAGAGCCAAAATTGAAATCGAAAATTCGAGTAATTGCACAACCCTAGTGTAAATCTATTGGTCATTCTTATCTTGTGCCAATTCAAACATCTCTGGTAACAGGAGTGTGATCTTACTGCAAAACTTGTCATTTTTATCTTGAAACAGGTCATTCATGTCAATCATGTAGATCTGAAAAATACGTTTTGGGGGTGGGGGAAGGGGGTATTATCACAATGACTGCAATATAAATATTGAAGACTGTATGAATGCACTGATTACTATACCGTTCTATACCACCCTAAAGGACAGATTATCCAATTGATCTCCAAAGAATAGGAGAAGAGTAAAGAAGCCTTACACAGAATATTATGTTCAGTCAAGGCATTCATTTCTTTATGATTAATGTGTAAACGTAAATCGTCACAATACAAATCAAATAAAATAGCGTAGGCCAGGGGTGGGCAAACTCGGTCCTGGAGGGCCGGTGTCCTGCACAGTTTAGCTCCAACCCTAATCAAACACACCTGCTTATAGATTTCTAGTGATCTTGAAGACACTGATTAGTTTGTTCAGGTGTGTTTGATTAGTGTTGGAACAAAACTCTGCAGGGACACCGGCCCTCAAGGATCAAGTTTGCCCATCCCTGGCTTATAGCCCAACACCACGCAGGACATTTGCCAGAGAACACCAAGATTGGCAAATTCCCTACTGGCGCCCTGTGCTCTTCACAAATGAAAGCAGGTTTACACTGAGCATGTGAGTCTGGAGATGCCGCAGAGAATGTTTTGCTAAATGAGATGAGATCCTCAGACCCCTTGTGAGACCATATGTCACTGCAGTTGTCCCTGGGTTCCTCCTAATGCAAGACTATACTAAACCTCATGTGGATGGAATGTGTCAGCAGTTCCTGCAAGATTAAGGCATTGATCCAATGGACTGGCCCACCCATTCCTCAGACCTGAATCCAATGCCACATTGCCCCACAGACTGTCCAGAGGTTAGCGGATGCTTTAGTTCAGGCCTGGGAGATCCCTCAGGAGACTATAAAGAGCATGCCCATCACTTACTGGCTGAATTGCAATCTCTTTATCAAAGAAAGTGTGTAGGTCAGCATAACCGCCACTTGGAGATCATCCTCCATGTTCAGTCGTGGCCTGTATTTATTTTTAATGCATATGAGCACCTTAAGTGTGTCAAAGTCTAACCTGATGCCATAAAACTAGTTCGCTGCAACTGACACTATTACTTCGTGGTCCGCCCAAACACTAACTTGTATTGTTTTAATGTACATTTATAGGGTGAATATCCTATTTATTTGTCAAATTCAGTCTGACTCTGTTATTATTGATTTGAAGTAACTATCCACAAAAGAGTTGCTAAATCCCCCTTCTCAGTTGTTGAAAGTAACCTAGCATTCATTTGCAGCTTTTTGCAAGGTCTTTTCTAGACAAAACTGGAGGAATCCACCAATACCTCCCTGCAAGCAGAGGGTGTAGTGATGGTATAAATACGAATACTTCAGTCCTTTCTTTTTGACCGATGGGCAAAATTCTGCTTCAAGTCAACCAGTGAGGTCACTAAGGAGAGTGGAAGTAATGACTCATGCTCCCTTAATATTATCACAGAGTTTCTTCGCCCCTTCTTGGACAAGCCAGAACCTAAAAATTCCAGGCCCCAAGCTAAGGGCTCTCCAACCCTCCACTCACAACAGGGGTTCATGTAGTCATCAAGCCATCCAGCTTTGAAGACGGTTCATCAGTGTCAGCAAGGGTATACCTGTTAACACAAAAGAACTGTTGTTTACCTTCTCGGGCAAACCAGAGGATGCATCAAGTCAAAGCAAAATTTACCAAATCAAAACAGAATACACATTCAAATTTCACTGACAGAGAGAATTTCTTCCTCGACAGTAAAACTATTCTTGTTACCATTGAAAATGCTCTCATCCTTCTCTATCAAAATAGAGAATAGTTTTTCTTTTAAACCAACCCCGAGTTTGTTAACTCTTGTCTGAAAGTGCAGAGCATAACCAAATGTACTGGTCTATATGGTTCTTTTGGATAGAGTGAAACTTGATAAAAATAGTGGTTGAGCTCAAAAGATTCAGTCTGGAGTGAAGTCCGATCTTTCTTGAGCTTGAAGGTTCAATCTGAGGCTCCACCTGATAAAACTTTCAAAATATAGTATTTCAGGTTTGTTTGAAACCTACATGTAAGTGTGTTGGAATTAAACTGTGCAGAGCTGCGGCCCTCCAAGAAGTGCGTTTGACACCCATGATACACACAATAGGATAATGTCTCAGACACTTGCCCTGCCAGACCAGATTCCATCATCTTCAAAATGTAAAATATATGTAACATTTTCAGTTTAAACTATTAAACTGGAACATTGATTTTATAAATTTGTATTTCCACAAAAGCATTATGCATACAGGCTTCAAAAGTGTTGCCCACAGCATAGTACAGTACATGGTACATGCCAACAATTTCCGAAAATGGATTTAAGTCTTTAACAATATAATATGTTTTAATTGAAAAATAGTATGTTATTTGTTTCATACCTACAGAGTTGTATTTGTCTTTGTTCTCCACTGTAGACCTGATGCCACTCAAGGAGGAGAGTCAAGATCCGAATAAAAGAGAACAGAAGGATCAGAATGAGGAAATAAGTGGAGTAAAATCAGAACAGACAAAAACTGCTTCAGAAAGACCAGCCTGCAAGACCGAACCTAATACCTGCCATCAGTGTGGAAAGAGTTTCACTCGGAAGCAATCCTTTACAAAACACATGAGAATTCACACTGGAGAAAGACCTTACACTTGCCAACAGTGTGGAAAGAGTTTCACACAAAAACATGTACTTACAGAACATATGAAGATTCACACTGGAGAAAGGCCTCACACTTGCCAACAATGTGGAAAGAGTTTCACTCAGAAACATATACTTACAGAACATATGAGGGTTCACACTGGAGAAAAGCCTTACACTTGCAAACAGTGTGGAAAGGGTTTCACTCAGAAGCACATGCTTACAGAACATATGAGGATTCACACTGGAGAAAAGCCTTACACCTGCAATCATTGTGAAAAGGGTTTCACTTGTAAACGAAACCTTACAGAACATATGAGGGTTCACACAGGAGAAAGGCCTTACCCTTGCCAACAGTGTGGAAAGAGTTTCACCCAGAAACATAAACTTACAGATCATTTGAGGGTTCATACTGGAGAAAAGCCCTTCACTTGCCAACAGTGTGAAATGAGTTTCACTTGTAAACGATACCTTACAGAACATATGAAGGTTCACACTGGAGAAAGGCCTTACACTTGCCATCTGTGTGGAAAGAGTTTCACCTGGAAACGATACCATACAGAACACATGAAGATTCACTCTGGAGAAAAGCCTTACACGTGTCAACAGTGTGGAAAGAGTTTCATTTGTAAACAAAAACTTCTAAATCACATGATGGTTCACACTGAAGAAAAGCCTAACGCTTGCGATCAGTGCGGAAAGAGTTTTACCCTGAAACATATACTTATAGAACATATGAGGGTTCATACTGGAGAAAAGCCTTTCACTTGCCAACAGTGTGGAAAGAGTTTCATTTGTAAACGATACCGCACAGAACATATGAAGGTTCACTCTGGAGAAAAGCCTTACACTTGCCAACTCTGTGGAAAGAGTTTCACCTGGAAACGATACCATACAGAACATATGAGGATTCACACTGGAGAAAAGCCTTACACTTGTCAGCAGTGTGGAAAAAGTTTCATTTGTAAACAAAATCTTGTAAAACACATGAAGGTTCACTCTGGGGAAAAGCCTCACACTTGCGATCAGTGTGGAAAGAGTTTCACTTGTAAACAAAACCTTCAAAACCACATGACGTTTCACACTGGTGGAAATCTTTACACTTGTCAGCACTGTGGAAAGAGTTTCACTCGAGAACAAAGGCTTACAGAGCATACTAGGATTCACACTGGAGAAAAACCTTACACTTGCCAACAGTGCGGAAAGAGTTTCACTGGTGAACAAAACCTTAAAAACCACATGAAGATTCACACTGGAGAAAAGATGTACACTTGCAAACAGTGTGGAAAAAGTTTCACTTGGAAACAAAACCTTACGGAGCATATGAAGATTCACACTGGAGAAAAGCCGTACACTTGCCAAGAGTGTGGAAAGAGTTTCTTTTGGAAACAAACTCTTATAGAGCATACAAGGATTCACACCGGGGAAAAGCCTAACACCTGCTGTCAATGTGGAAAGAGTTTTACTTGGAAACAAAACCTTATTGATCATATGAGGATTCACACTGGAGAAAAGCCTCACAGTTGCCAACAGTGTGGAAAGAGTTTCGTTTGTACCCAAAGTCTTAAAAGGCATATGAGAGTTCACACTGGAGAAAAGCCTCACACCTGCCATCAATGTGGTAAAAGTTTCTCTTGGAAAAAAAACCTCACCGAGCATATGAGGATTCATGCTGTTGAGAAGCCTAATGTCTGTTAAGTGTGGACAGAGTTTCAGATATAAACAATCGCTTGATTCCCATGTGATGCTTCATAATGGATAAAAGCCTCACACCTGTGGATTATGTGGCAAGAACTCTACATGCATAAAATTTCACAAGACACTCGGAGAGTCACACCGGAGATAAGCTGTTTATATCTTTTCAAGTTGGAAGGAGAAAGTAAAACTTAATTACCAGGAGAGGATTCACACTCACAGAAGAATCAGCAGTCATTAGTGTGGAGTTGATAGACAGGAATCATGTAATAACTCACACCAGACAAAAGGTGCCATCACAGCATTCGCATCCAGCCAAAAAAAGTCCCTGAGTAAGGTTGGGGTTGGGTTGAGACTGGCTTGGTTCCATGGGGATAAAGCTTCCCACGTCCAAGCCTTCACTCCAGGCCTGCTCCAGCGTTTGGCCCCGGTTCCTGGATTTTGGGATACACCATGGTCCTCGATTTTTGTTGTGCTTATAGGGTTTTTATTAAACTACACTCAGACCCATCACCTAGGACCTTTTTGCCTTGGGAGACCCTAGCAGGGCCATTAAGCCCTAGACAGCATAGTCCCTAACATAAGATTGTGCCAAATCAAGTAGACGTAGCACTGGCATCTGTATCTGTACATTCAGTAGACTATCATAGATACATTTGTGATGCAGTTATTATGCAGCTTTTATATGACATAAGGCACAAATTTTAGTAATTGTTATTTAGTAGTTATTCCAGTTATTCCTGCATTGTAGAAGTGTTGTAAATCTGAAATAATTCAATCTGTACACATCAAAATTGTTATGCGTGATATACAAAGGACAATTTTCAAGGCACCCACATTTCTGTCAGTATGTGACTGGTAGTATGTATATTTGTAGCCACCTACTGACTGGCAGAAGATTGGCATGTAATAATGCATTTATTTTTTTGTGGTGCTCAAGCATGCTTTACAACTAAAGTTCAAGAACTGAAAAAAAATGTAAAAGGGTAAAGAAAATAGAAAGACAAATTGCAAAAAGGGAACAAACAGCTACAAAGTTCACGTTTGTAGGATTCAGAAAATAAGTGGGTTTTAAGAAGTGAAATAAACCTAGAAATACTATTGACGCAGCAGATGGTGTGTGGGAGAGAGTTCCAGAGCTTTGTTGCAACAACACTGAATGATCATCTGACCGCCATAGAAGCGAGATGATGTTGAGGGACAACAAGAAGCCCAGAGTCAGGGAATTGCAATGATCAGTTGGAGTGTAACAAGTGAGAAAATAACAAAGGGAGCTGAGGGCGCACTGACGGTATGCTATCTGAACTGTGCCCAGGCACGTTTTTAGATTTGTTTAAGAAGTGTGAGTGTTCTGAATCACTCTGTTGGCCGGCCCTGGCCTGGTTGGAAGATGTGTGCCAGAATGTGGTTCACTTGGGCTTTGGCGCGGTACGCTTGTAGTGTGAGTGCAAAGCACGCCTGAGCCCAAAACTGAAAACGTGACGTCACTTTTAGGGGACTATTTCATATGAATTTATTAATCATTTATAATTATCAATGAACGCAAACTGTCGTAGTTTATTAAAGACACAAACCCCTCACTGCACGTCAGCTGCACCTTCAGGAAACCTCCTAATTCCTGCAGCACGAGGACTTTTAAGATAATTTATGAGCGTCAAAAGTGGAGGATCTGTTCGTCAAAGTGTTTGACTGCGTGTCACTGCATCCCAAACGACTAAAAATAATACAAAACGATATAACTAAAGAGATCTCCACTGTGCTGGGCGAGAGCGCTTCTCTTCCTGTTAAATTGCACAGTCACATCTTCGATGATGCAAGTGTGCTCAGGTCTGGTAGGTAAAAATGCAATGTGAGTGCAGGCCGAGGGAATGGAGGACAATCGTGCTTTGGCATGGTTCAAGGCAACTGTACCTAATGTGAGTGCGCCCTAAGGAATGTAGAGATTTGATAGTAAGAGAATTTTTAATTGAATGCGATGTGATACTGGAAGCCTATGGTGGTTTGAGCTGAGCGTTTAGTATGAGTGAGAATTCTAGAAGCAGACTTTTGAAGGTATTGTAACTTGAAAAAAGAGTTTGCAGGTAAACCAATGAAGAGAATTGCAGGAATCAAGGCATGATGTGACGAGTTGAGAGTTTCAGTCTTTTCTATTGATAAATGGACATAGCTTGGCGATACGACGTAGGACTGATAATTGGGTGATGGTATTAATGTAAGCCTGAAAGGAGAGAGAAAAGTTGGCTTCCGAGTAGTTGGATAAAACTGAGTGATCCAGGTTGGGTTTGTTTATAATAAGTTGGGTTATTGCAGCGGTTTCGAGCTCTAGAAGAAACAAAGCAGATGTATATAATGTGTTGTGCTGAAAATGTTGTTGTGCTCTAATTTAGACATGAAACTTCCAACACTATATTGGGCAGTGCTTCAGTTTCATTGTCCAACCCCTGTACTTTCACAATCCATATCAATTGTGTTTTGTAGCCTTAAATGTATTTTCCACCACAGGGGGCAGTGTGGTGGAAATTACATTTTTACAGTTTATTGTGAAAAAATTAAAGATGGCTTCACTGATTAGCTTTGAATTGATACTAGCCTTTCATGCCTCTAATTTACTTTAATTTTGTTATGCTTTTTTTTTTAAACACCTTTGAAGGTACAGCATGTTTGGAAATGATGTAGAATAAATGTATTACCTTATCAAGCAATATTTACTGTGATTTTTCTTCATGTGCTATTGGTGTAAATTGTAATTCCCTCCATCTTGAAAATGTGCTCTGATGTCTTTCACAAACTTTTTATAGCGACTGTACAGTGTTGTGCTGGAAATAATGATAATATTGATAATAGTCTCACATTAATGACTATAACTATTTCACTACTGCTTGAATAAGATACATTAATAGATACTAGATAAATAATCTTTTAAAATGTTATTTCATTGTAGAAGTTTAAAACTGTGGGTGTGCGACAAGGGGAAAACAGGGATTTTGAAACCTAAAAGGAGGTTGAATAATTTGAAAGAAATATAATAGAAAGCTAGTACATTTTTAAAAGTTTGTTTTATTATTAGTTTGACAAAGAAAGAGGAATTTGAACAAAATATATTTTTAGATATTTGATCAAAGGACTGAAGTGTCCGTAGTTAAAGAATTAATTGTGTGTGTTTTTGTGTGTATATATATATATATATATATATATATATATATATATATATATATATATGTATATATATATATATATATATATATATATATATATATATATATATATATATATATATATATATATGTGTGTGTGTGTGTGTGTGTGTGTGTGTGTGGAGAAAGATAGCTGCTCATTTTGTAAACTTAACTTATCTTCACTTGTAATAATAATAATAAATAATAAATAATATTTTTCACAATTTGGATTTTAACAGTGACACCTGGTATCAAAACTAATTATATATGTACATTTTTAATTCGTCAGAATTTCGCACTCTTTATTTTTAGTTATTAATCTTTCCAGCAAATCAGTGGCGTGTGTTCTGTGATTTTAGACACGGGACTTTTATCTCGCGTGTCAGTGACGTCATCAGGCGGCGGCGCACTCCTGTTTGTTGTGAATCTACTCGAGAAAGGTTTGTGTTTATAATCATTTTATCGATTATATAAATGTGTCCCGTTCAGGCAAGATTACAGCTCTTGAATGATTTATACAGTAACGCCATTATTAGTGAATATTTTGATGAATGTAATGTTTTATTAAGCGTTAATAAACGTTATTCTGACTCTTCCACATTTGAATAACAGTAAAGCTGCGTTTATTTTCTGTCTTTATATCATAAATCAGTCTCTGGAGAACAGAGATGAGGACAAGAGACTTTTATTTTAAACTGAGACAAAGCCAGAGATTGAGTCATTTTCCTCTGTTAATGATGCTCTTCATCTTGTCCAAACCCACAGAACAGCAGATTATTATAAAGATGGCGTTTATTAAAGAGGAGAGTGAAGACATCAAGATTGAAGAAACATTCACAGTCAAACAGGAAGACATTGAAGATATTTTGAGAGTGAAACATGAAGAGATTGAAGAAACATTTACAGTCAAAAAAGAAGACCCTGAGGAACAGACAGGTTGGTTTTCATCCTCAAAGCTCAACATTTGATCCTCATTCAGATCTGCAGCTCTACACTGATCAATATTTCTCAGTAAACTGCTTTATCTGGTATTAATCATCTTTAACATTAGCTAAAGAGATCTTTGCACAGACCTGCCTGTAATTAAACACTGTTTAGGAGACTGTTCAACTTGTACACATGATGAACTGATCAGAGCAGAAGTGCCAGGCTGAACTGATCCTGGTTTGTATTTTCTGTGGAGTGTGAAAGATTTACTTCAGACATTAACGCCACTTGTTACTTTGTTGAAATATTAACTAACTAGTTATTCTCTAATACCCGCTGCCTCTTTCATAAAAAGTTAAATAATTACATTTGACCGTTAGTTCTTATCTTGTGCTTAAATGACCATCACAGAGCTTTAATGACAGTGAACGTGTCTGAGATTGTTTATTATGTCTCAGAAACGTCACTGTATGACTACACTGGAAACTACATTGTAGGGCTGGGCGATATAGGCGAAAAATTATATCTCAGTATTTTTAGGACGGTATACAATGGATATCCGGTATTTTCCCGGTATTTTTTGGGAGTTAAAACCTTTATTAAAACTTTATTAAACAGTTTTTGAGCAAAAAAATAATTCAAACAAAGGGGTTTCCTCCCTGTTTACAAATAAACAGCTGCACATAAAATAACAGCTGCACAAACTCTTTGATAAATAAATACAGTACAGGGTTTTTTTTTTTTCTTGCTTCACACTATACTCAGCTCTATTGTGCTGTTGTGCAAATGACAAAGTAAACAGAACCGTAGAAAACGGCTGCATTGTCCGAGCCAAAAAAAAAAAGCAAAACACTTTAATAGTAACACAACACAAAATATTTAACTAGAATAAATGTAAATATGAAACAGTATTTAATGTCACAATTACAGTGTTGTTATAAGTAATCCTGTATACCGCAGTTGTGGGATTTATAAACAACAATTAAATGCGCTGTATGTGTTGTTTTAGTTACACGTTTACATGTATTGTGCACAATTATTAAACAGTGCTCATATCAAAGATATCTAAAGAGAAGTCTTTCACAAAATACTACACTTTTTCTTTTGTTTTGACTAAACTTGTTTTACTAAATATTCAATAAAGAGATGAAAACGAATAGACTATAGATATGAGAAGTAATGAAATTGAGTGCTGTGATGAAATGCTGGTTAAGCATATAAATGTAAACAGTCATTATAACAGAGCAGAACGCAGAGCTCAATGTGTTATAATGTAAATGTAAAGAAGAGACCGTCGTGTTATAAATACTGAACTGCTAATCAGTGTTTATTAGGTGGTTTCACTTACGAAATGCGCTATGAATTCCTCCCATTTTTGCGTTTTTATTCTTGTGAACACATTCAGGTGCTGCTTGTCAATTTGACAAGGCTTCTACGTTCGTTCTTGCTGTCAGTTGCGGAAGAAATGATGGATAAAAGGTTTCTGATAAACCGCTGTGACAGCTGCAGGCGCAACACCAGCACTGCATGTTCCTCCATGTTGCATCAGTGATGGGTCGTTCTTGAACGATTCGTTCATTTTGAACAGATCTTTTGTTTGACTCATGGAGTGAATCATTCATTTGCACTCAAGCGGTGGACTAGAGATCTGCGCGGGACTAAATTTTGAATCCCACTCCCGCCAGGTTTTAGCCCGAACCCGACCGCTCCCGCTTATATTAAGAATTTGTTGTCCCACTGCCCGCCCCGCCCCGTTTTCTGGCCGCTGCGCCCGATCCCGTTAAAGAGCGGGGGAGAACAAAACCGAAAATCCCCCAGCTATACAGTCCAGACAGCCAAGCTGTCTGTATAAACACACACACAGCACCAAGCACACACACACAGACAAAGCTCTCTCTCTCATACGCATGCAAGCGCGCGCACTAACACACACACAAGCACCAAGCAGACACACAGGCGTTTGCTGTTATATCAACTCAAAGGGTTGTAATATCCGCGATATTGCTAGACAGCCCACTCCCGTCCCAAATTATACCCGTTTCCGTCCGCTCCTGCGATTTATTCGGAAATTTATGCCCGCACTGCAGAAATCTTGTCGGGTCCCGCGGCGCCCGCGGGACAGCCGCGGGAATGCAGACCTCTACGGTGGACTTCCACATTCTGGTTGCTTGCCGCTGAACCGTGTCATAGCTTATTACCTTTAAGTTGACTCAATTTCAACTCTCCTCAACGCCCACACCGGCGAAGATGCGCCGCGCTGCTCCTCGCCGCTTATTGCTGCCAGATCACAATGAAAATGAATGACTTCCGGCTACTTTGACGCTCTCGCCGCTTTCAGTGTGAACGTGCAGTTAGTGGTCTTCGGGTGCATCCTAAAGTATCAAGAATATCTTATATGAAGCATTAAGGTTACAAGAAAGTTTAACTCGCAGCATAGTCCAGTTTTTGTTTTTAAAATGCATCGACTTCAGTAATCAACAATATAGTATTATTTTAATGGAAAATTTAGCTGTGCTATTAATTTTATCATCTATGTGGTTTTGTCTTTTTTTTTCCATCAAAGACCCGATGCCATTCAAAGAGGAGAGTCTAGATCAGAATGAAGTAGAAGAGAAGGATCTTTATGAAGGATGTCGTGACTTGAATCGGAACAGTCGAACACCCCCTCCTCATGGAAAAAGAGCCCAGAAAGCTAAACCCTACACCTGCCATCTCTGCGGGAAAAGTTTCACGCGGAAAAAGATCGTTACAGACCACATGAGGCTTCACACTGGAGAACGGTTTTACGATTGTCAACATTGCGAAAAGAGTTTCGCTTGGGAACAAAACTTTAGGCACCACATGAGGATTCACACTGGACGAAAACCTTACGTCTGCCAACAGTGTGGAAAGAGTTTCACTTGGAAACAAAACCTTAGAGAGCATGTGATGATTCACACTGGAGAAAAGCCTCACAACTGCCAAGAGTGTGGAAAGAGTTTCATAAAGAAAAATAAACTTACAGAACACATGAAGGTTCACACCGGAGAAAAGCCTTACACATGTCAACACTGCGGAAAGAGCTTCTCCATTAAGGGGAACCATAGAAGACATGAGTTATGTCACACTAAAACAAGCCTTGCTCCTGAGAAGAGTGTGGAAAGAGTTTAAGACAGGGGTCAACACACTTGTTACTGGAGGGCCGGTGTCCTGCAGAGTTTATCGTCAACCTTAATCCAACACAGCTGAACGAGCCTAGGTCTTACTAGTAAGTAAGGTCTGACTAGGTACACTTGAAACTTCCAAGCAGGTGTGTTGAGGGATGGTGGAGCTAAACTGCAGGGACACCGGCCCTTATGAACAATTACTTGATTCCCATGAGATGCTTGAAATAACTTAACAATGCAGACGCCAATAATTGAGTCTGGGCTCGTTTTTTCAAAAGGTTTAATCCGGATTCAATTGATCCAGATTTAGTAATGTTTTTTGCGATCCGTGATCACGTAATCCAGCTTACTTTTTAAGCCAGTTATTCAAAGCAATATGGGATTGGATCAATCTGATCTGGATATGAACTTTTCAGGATCACTAAATCTAGATAACCAGTGCTCAAACAGGATAGGAAATCACAATGTAGGACTGTAGATATGAAAAGAGCAACACGTAGAAAAACCAGCGTGGGGTCAGTATAACTTTATTTTTATTTGAAATGAAAACACACACACACATTTAAAAAACTGAAAACAAGTGAAACCCCAGCCCATCCTCTTCCAGCAGCCCGCTCATCTGAGGCCTACAACACAAACACTGGACAGTGAAGATATTTATAACAAGCATCAAATATAGATTTTTTTAGTTTAAAAAAAGACTTAATGTCAAAAACTCCACAGTAATTTCAGACTTCCTCATCTGATGTGGAGAGAGCAGCTTGTCTGTGCAAAGCCATTAGGAGGCGGATGTCAAGTCTGGCCTTGGTTTGCTGCAGTTTGGTCAGTCAGTTGTTCCTCTGCCAGATGAAGCTGTGCTTCTGCCCTTTCAGTCTCTTTCTGCAGTTGTTGAAAGTGATTTTAAAAATCAGGGATTGCCATTCTTTGCCTTTTTTTGGTTATTCTGTAATCATTGCATGCATCACTAATAAATATTCTAAACACAAAAATATTTTCAATTGTGATGAATATATATATATATATATATATAGTTAATGACAGAATAAAATGTATTGTTTTTGGTCAATTTTGGCAGCTGTTTGGGGGATTATTTTATCAGCATGAGCTCTTTCTACTTTGCTGTACGTTAAAGCCTACCTATTCAATTCAATTCAGCTTTATTTGTACAGTGCTTTTACAATGTAGGTTGTGTCAAAGCAGCTTCACATAAATGGTCATAGTAACTGGAACAGTGCAGTTCAGTTTTTACTGTAGCCTGATAGATGAACAAATACAGTTAAAACCTTATGAATAAATAAGATATATTGTAAGATACTGCATGATCCAAATATTATTTGATGCTTTTTCTTTTTTTTTTACTTTTCATTACATTTTGGGCATGAAATTCCCGCTGAATCCACCCTTCTGATGGGAAAAGTTAAAACAGAAATTGGGGGACAAATTAACGGGGGCATATATTTCAGGGGGCTAATAATTATGAGTCCAACTATATATATATATATATATATATATATATATATATATATATATATATATATATATATATATATATACATATATATATATATAGTTGAAGTCAGAATTATTAGCCCCCTGTTTATTTTTTAACCAATTTCTGTTTAACGAAGAGCAGATTTCTTCAACACATTTCTAATCATAACAGTGTTAATAACTCATCTCTAATAACTGATTTATTTTCTCTTTGTCATGATGACAGTAAATAATATTAGACTAGATATTCTTCAAGACACTTCTATACAGCTTACAGTGACATGTAAAGGCTTCACTAGGGTAATTAGGGTAACTAGGCAGGTTAGGGTAATTAGGCAAGTCATTGTATAACGATGGTTTGTTCTGAAGACTATCGAAATATGTATCTTAAATGGGCTAATAATATTGACCTTAAAATGGTGTTTAAAAAATTAAAAACTGCTTTTATTCTAGCCGAAATAAAACAAATAAGACTTTCTCCAGAAGAAAAAATATTATCAGACACACTGTGAACATTTCCTTGCTCTATTAAACATCATTTGCGAAATATTAGGAAAGAGGGGGCTAACAATTCTGACTTCAACTGTATATATAATTTTTTAATGGTGTGCGTACTGTCATGCAGATATTCCAATGATTCAGCAAAAGCAAGGAAACTCTAATCCTGGTTAAAATGTGAAGATGAAACTGTACAGCAGAAGAAAAAGGAAAAATGTAGGTTACAAATTGTTTTGGAATCGGGTCATGAAGTCACTAAAGACTCCCAGCCCTATTAAATAGTGGAATACAGGATATGTTATTTACATGAACATGAACACAAACTCTATTTGACGTCCATGTTCTCCATTAAAATGACAGCTTACAAATTTATTTAAAAATTACATTTAATATGATGAAAGAGTTTTCCCAGTGATGGGTTGCAGCTGTAAAATCATCCGCTGTGTAAAAGTTGGAGGTTCATTCCACTGTGGTGACCCCAGATTAATAAAGGGACCAAGCCAAAAAGAAAAAGAATGATTAAGGAATAATTGTGTTATGTGTACCTTTTAAAAATAAGGGATTTGCTGATCAACAAATGTAGAAAATGCATACCTCTGGATATTAATAAATTAATATTTAAACGTAATAGCTTAAAAAACACATAATAATAATAATAGTATAAATCATAAGCCAGAATCTCACACGCTCTTAGTAGTTATTAATCGTTCCAGCAAGTCAGTGGCGTGTGTTGTGATTTTAGACACGGGACTTTTATCTCGGCTTGTCAGTGACGTCATCAGGCGGCGCCGCGCTCCTGTTTGTTGTGAATCTACTCGAGAAAGGTTTGTGTTTATAATCATTTTATCGATTATATAAATGTTTCCTGTTCAGGAAAGATTACAGCTGCTGAATGATTTATACTGTAACGCCATTATTATTGAATATATTGATGAATGTAATGGTTTATTAAGCGTTAATGAACGTTATTCTGCCTCTTCCACATCTGAATAACAGTAAAGCTGCGTTTATTTTCTGTCTTTATATCATAAATCAGTTCATCATCAACACCAAATCAGTCTCTGGAGAACAGAGATGAGGACAAGAGACTTTTATTTTAAACTGAGACAAAGCCAGAGATTGAGTCATTTTCCTCTGTTAATGATGCTCTTCATCTTGTCCAAACCCACAGAACAGCAGATTATTATAAAGATGGCGTTTATTAAAGAGGAGAGTGAAGACATCAAGATTGAAGAAACATTCACAGTCAAACATGAAGAGACTGAAGAAGCTTTCAGAGTCAAACATGAAGATCCTGAGGAACAGACAGGTTGGTTTTCATCCTCAAAGCTCAACATTTGATCCTCATTCAGATCTGCAGCTCTACACTGATCAATATTTCTCAGTAAACTGCTTTATCTGACATCATATTCATCATATTTAACATTAGCTGAAGAGAACTTGGTGCAAATTGCTAATTTAGACATCTCAATTCAGAGAGTAAACATAAACTTAGCTTTTATCCACTGATAACTGAGTTTAGACAAAGACTGCCAGGAGTTTGGTTAAGAATAGATTTAGTGCAGATACATTAAAGCTTGACTGTGTGCACGAGTTTCGCTCTTCGCGTCTAACCAGTGCAGATACAGTGGATGCTCCTCGAATGTGACACTTCATAAACTTAAATGAAAACTTCATCAAATCCAGAGCGTATGAAGCCGTTTGGTCAGTGTATCTTTTGGTCACTGGATTTCATTTTAGAAACGGATATTAAAAAACGAGCCATTTTTTTATTCATTCATTCATTCATTTTCTTGTCGGCTTAGTCTCTTTATTAATCTGGGGTCGCCACAGCGAAATGAACTGCCAAGTCATCCAGCAAGTTTTTACGCAGCGCATGCCCTTCCAGCCTGCAACCCATCTCTGGGAAACATCCACACACACACACACACACATACACTACGGTCAATTTAGCTTACCCAATTCACCTGTACCGCATGTGTTTGGACTGTGGGGGAAACCGGAGCACCTGGAGGAAACTCACGCAAACACAGGGAGAACATGCAAACTCCACACAGAAACACCAACTGAGCCGAGGCTCGAACCAGCGACCTTCTTGCTGTGAGGCAACAGCACTACCTACTGCGCCACTGCTTCGCCAGTTTTTATTTTTGTTTTAAAAGTAAAAAACAAATATTGAAATACAGTGCGTTTTTTGATATTCGCTTTTGATTATTAAAACAAAAATAAAGCTTTTCTTTTTCTTTTTCATGATGAAAAATGGAAAAGCAAAATTCAAAAATCATTTGGTTTTCATTTTCTTTTCTTTTTTTTTTAGAATAACAAAAAATAAAATCACTAGACACAAAAATGAATAAAGGCTTGTTTTATATTCCAAAACCAGATAGACCGACTCATTCACGCTGCTGCCACACACAGGTTAGCCTACTGTAGGCAGTTTCCCCATGCAACCCTTTTCCCCATCCTTCTGAATGACACGCCTACTTTACTACATCCAATCAGCTCGCAGTACACCCACTGTCTTCTCGTTTATTAATCCTGATCTTTCTTAGAGTGTCTTTGTCTTTACTTCAAAATGGAAAACAATGCGTATAACATTTTCAGGTGTATACTATTGCATTTTAATCTAGAGTTTATCGATTTAATTCTGCAAAAGCATTGTGTATGTAGGCGTCATGCAATGTGTTACCCACAGCACAGCACAGTACAATGGATACGGCAACATTTTACCAAAATGCTATTATCTGATTTACACCCATGCATTTGTCTTTATTCTCCACTGTAGACCTGATGCAACTCAAAGAGGAGAGTCAAGATCAGGATGAGATTGAAGAGGAGGATGAATATGAGGAAATATCTGAAGAAGAACCAGAACAGAGAAGAACGTCTTCAGAAACAACAGCACAGATGACCGAATCTAATACCTGCCATCAGTGTGGAAAGAGTTTCACTAGGAAACAATCCTTTACAAACCACATGAGGATTCACACTGAGGAAAAGCTTTACACATGCCAACACTGTGGGAAGAGTTACACTCGGAAACAAACGTTTACAAACCACATAAGAAATCACACTGGAGAAAGGCCGTACACTTGTCAACACTGTGGAAAGAGTTTCATATGCAAACAAAACCTTAAAAACCACATGAAGGTTCACACTGGAGTAAAGCCCTACACTTGCCTTGAGTGTGGAAAGAGTTTCACCCGGAGACAAAACCTTACGGAGCATATAAGGATTCACACTGGGGAAAAGCTTCACGGTTGCCCTCAGTGTGGGAAGAGCTTCACTTGGAAAAAAACCCTTATTGAGCATATGAAGGTTCACAGTCGAGAGTCTGCTAAGAGGACAGAGTTTCAGATATAAACAGTCCTTTGAGTCCCACGTGATGCTTCATAATATATAAAACACCTGTCGATTGTGTGGCAAGGACTTAACGTGCAGAGATTCACACTGGAGATAAGCTGGTATGTGTTTTGAAATTGTGAGTATAAAGTAAATCTTTCAGTCATCAGTGTTGAGTTTCATATACAGGAATCATGTAATAACTCACACCAGAGGAAAGTCCTATAATCATTCACATTCGAGCCCTAACTCTGGCCTGGCTCCAGCATGGGGCCCCGTTTGCATCATACTGGTCTTCAATTAGGCTGTAAGGGGTTTTTTAACTACACTTAGGCTGCTTTCACATCTGTAGTTCGCTTCATTTGGTCCGGATCAAGGGTAATAAATGACACATTGTTGCATTTTCTGCCGTCTTTGGGTCGTTTTCACACCACACTGCTGGCTTTGGTCTGAACCAGTTGAAACAAACCAAAATGCAGTCATCTGACAAAATCCACATCTCTCATTGGCCAGATGTTGTTGAACATATTTCCTAAACTGCTTATTGATTGGTCAGAATTCACGTGCGGGAAAATGCCAGTGAACTCCCACAGGTAAACAAAACCTTTTACTCTGGAGAGGCGACTGCGCTGGCTGATTATATCCCTGCTTTAGACAAACTATACATTACGAAAATGAAGCGCGGCCGCGGCTGGAAAACAGTGTTTAATGCATCGCTCGTCACTTCAGGAGGCGTCGTGAATTAATTTAGCTAAACTGCAACATGCTCATCTTGCGGAAATAATACCAACGATGCTTCAGGTAATGTTTTCCCCTCTCTCTCTTTCTGTTGGTAAAGCGCTGTCAACAAATATGTTTCCTCCATATCCCATAATGCACAGCGCATCGGCGTACAGCAGCTGGATTAGTCCAAAAGGCGCAGTCCTTTTTGCGGTTGGACCTGTTTTAGTACGGATCATATTCTCACCGCAAACAAACCGCTCCAGGATTCGTTTGAAAGCGTGCCGAGAGCACCTCTTCAAGCAGGTCTCGATACGCTTATTTGGTCCGCTTTTGGTGCGCACTCGAGTACGATTGCTGCATTTACACCTACACAAACAAACCGCACCAAGAGGGAAACGAACTCTAGTGCGATTCAATCCAACTAAACAAGGCAGGTGTGAAAGCACCCTTAGACCTGTTACCTAGGACTACTTTGCCTTGGGAGACAATAGCAGAGGCATTTAATCCCAGACAACACCGCTTCTAACATCATTCAGGCACTAAAACCCCTACAACACGATAAGGTGCCATTTCAAGGAGAGGTAGCGCTGAATTAATCTACTTATCTAGAGTTTTCATTCAGACAATAGATACAGACAGAAACAGACACCTGTAGAAAACTCTCAGTAGACAATTACAGAAACATTTGTGATGTGTTATGCAGCTTCATGATGACATTGTGCATCATAGACGTCACATGATTATTGATTGTGGTGCAAAATGTAGTCGGACATATTTGTTACTTGAGACGCATCAAGATTTTATCTACAACCCCAAATCAGAAAAAGATTGGCACAGTATGGAAAACACAAATAAAAAAGAAAGTGATTTACGAATTTACTTTGACTTGTATTTCATTGTAGACAAAACAAAAAATGTTATTTAATGTGTTCCTCATGATTTGGTTCCTGCGACAGACTCCAGAAACAGCTGTGACAGGAGCAGTTTAGGGCAGTAATCTGGTAAACTAGTTATGATGTGATTTGAAACAGGTGATGTCAACAGGTGAGTGTAAATATGATTTAGTACAAGAGCAGCATCCAAGAAAGGTCTAGCCCTTTAGGAGCAAAGATGGGCCGAGGTTTGCTAGTTTGGCCAGTCAAGTTATTGAAATGTTTAATCACAATGTTCCTCTGTGAAAGAGAGGAAGACATGTGGATATTTCACCTTCAACAGTGCAGAACATCATTAAAAGAGGAATCTGGAGAAATTTCAGTGCGTAAAGGACAAGGGCGCAAGCCTAAACTGAACAACCGTGATCGCCGATCCCTCAGGGGGCGCTGCATCAGGAATCCTCATTCATCTGTAGGCCTTATCAACGCATGGGGCCCAAGACTGTTTTGGCAAACCTTTGTCAAGTACCACAATTTGTAGTTACATCCATAAATGCCAGTGAAAACTCATGCAGGCATTTATATTTATATATATATATACACACTCAAAAAATGTTTTATCAGTATATTTTATGCTAATTTACATACTTGATACTTGTATATAATATTTTTATATTAAATTAGCATTTTAATACAGAGATACAAAAGAATTATAAAAATATAATATGTTATAAAAAAACATATAAAAAATATATGTGATACATTGTTAATTTTTCAGAATTTTGCACCCTTTATTTTAAGTGGTTATTAATCTTTCCAGCAAATCAGTAGCGTGTATTTTGTGATTTTAGACACGGGACTTTTATCTCTGCTTATCAGTGACGTCATCAGGCGGCGCCGCGCTCCTGTTTGTTGTGAATCTACTCGAGAAAGGTTTGTGTTCATCATTTTATCGATTTTATAAATGTGTCCCGTTCAGGCAAGATTACAGCTGCTGAATGATTTATTCAGTAACGGCATTATTAGTGAATATATTGATGAATGTAATGTTTTATTAAGCGTTAATGAACGTTATTCTGCCTCTTCCACATCTGAATAACAGTAAAGCTGCGTTTATTTTCTGTCTTTATATCATAAATCAGTTCATCATCAACACCAAATCAGTCTCTGGAGAACAGAGATGAGGACAAGAGACTTTTATTTTAAACTGAGACAAAGCCAGAGATTGAGTCATTTTCCTCTGTTAATGATGCTCTTCATCTTGTCCAAACCCACAGAACAGCAGATTATTATAAAGATGGCGTTTATTAAAGAGGAGAGTGAAGACATCAAGATTGAAGAAACATTCACAGTCAAACATGAAGAGACTGAAGAAGCTTTCAGAGTCAAACATGAAGATCCTGAGGAACAAACAGGTTGGTTTTCATCCTCAAACCTCAACATTTGATCCTCATTCAGATCTGCAGCTCTACACTGATCAATATTTCTCAACTTGTGTGATTAAACAGTCACACTTTATTTTGATGGTCTGCATGTTGAATGTAAGTTACACTGCATCTACATGCCAACTCATTCTCATTAGATTATCAGTAGACTGTAAGGTTGGGGTTGGTGTAAGTTGACATGTACTTGCAGAGTTTCTTATAGTCAGTGAAATATCTGTTGAGGGAGCAGTATCAGCAGATATGAAGCAGACAGTTTACTAATACTCTAATAGAGCATCAACATAAAGTACTACCATCAACACTGTTTAGGAGACTGTTCAACTTTTACACATGATGAACCGATCCGAGCTGAAGTGCCAGGCAGAACTGAGCACTGATACTGGTTTGTTAGAGATCCTGCTGAGTTTATTACATCTGAGAGACTGTGGTGTATGTTACGCCCTAGACTAAGCTGCATTGCACGGTGAATACACAGATGCACTGTATTAAAACAACTAATACTAGTATATGCACTTTTTAAACATATATAACACAAACACATTGTAAGGTTTAAGAACCTCAAATGGACTCTTCACTTGTTTGTTTATACACCTCGATTTGCCTCCACACGTCATTAATGCTGATAAAACATCTTTGCATGATCTTTTTTCACGTGATGAATTCCTGATCTTTTGCAGTATAGTTTTATTTATTAATCACCCAGTATAATTACTTTCAATGTTCTTAAATATTTGTTAAATGAAGACAACAGTCTACAAACCCCTTAGTTTAGTTTATATATATATATATATATATATATATATATATATATATATATATATACAGTAGTTATTTTGCTAATAAAAATGACTGATTTTGTGGTGGTAATTCCCAGTAAGTTGCAGACATTTTTGTGATTAGGAAAATGTATATAAATATTAAAAAATAAATAATAATAATAATAATAATATATCGTCGTTGCGACGTGTTTTTTGAGAGGTGCGCGTCAGCAACACCGACAGCCACGGCTATGCGTCCACGTGGAGGCTGCGCCGTAGCATATGCATACGCTTGACGCAGAGGTATTAATCAGCTTTAATTCAGTCATGTCCAGCAGCCAGCGCCCTTAAACCAATCTGCATCATTGTAAACTGTTTGCTTCTCTGTTCCACTGCTCCGTTTGATAGATGTTTGCTCGCACTTTATTTGAGAGGGTGCTCGCTGCAGAGCCATTTGAGGAGAGCTGAGCTCCAGCGAGGGGGAGCATGAGCTGTCGCTCCTCCTCCTGTAAGCTGTTTTAATGCGTACACCAACCCCACCCCTAACCCTACCCCCAGTGACATCACTCGTAGAAGAAGTGCAAAAAAGGTGGAGCTCAAGCTTAAGCTCCCCCTCGCTGGAGCTCACCTCTCCTCAAATGGCTCTGCAGCGAGCACCACTTGCTTTATTTTGCAATATGATCAGGGCTGGAGCTGAACTCCACAGCAAGGCAGATCTCCAGCAATAGGATTGAGCACCTGTGCTTTAGAGAATTTGGATTTCCAAAGTTATGTGTTTGTGTTTTATGTGAATGCTAAAGCAAAAAGTTGTGCCTCTAGCTTAGATTTACACTCACAGTGTGTCTGCCTCCTCAACGCTTATAAGAAGGCTGTTCTGAAGTTTAGATGTCAGATATGAATGGAAAGGATCTACTGCCTAAAGTCAATTTTGAGCATTGTGGACGTGAGGGGCTGTAATACACCAGGAGCTCATTCAAATAATGGGGAGCCAAGCCATTCAGGGCTTTGTAGGTTGTCAGTTGGATTTAAAAATGTATATGATGTTTAATTGGGAGTCAATGAGCTTGAAGTATAAATCGGGTGGGTCTGTCCTGGTGCCAAGGCACCAAAATGGTTGTAAACTCATAAGCGAAGCCCAGGAGACTCTGGTTGAACTGGATTCTTTATTGAGAACTTGATATTTGTTGCAGTCATCCAGAAGTCTTTCTAGTGCAGTGTTGCACAATATTCTCTTCATTTTAGGGGTCTGTGGTACATAGAGGGGGAGACAAATCTAAATAAAGCATGCATTAGATGTACAGGAGTCGGACTTTCTCAGCCCTGATCTCATCAGCCTAACAGTACCAATTCAAATGTATTGGTGCTGCTAATCCAATCAGCCTGGCAGTATTACCCTGAACTTCATAGAGACAAAGATGCTGTCATTGGGAACCTGCTCAATGGTCAGGAAGTACAAATAGTTAATAGGGTAATGTCTCAGACACTTGGGCTGCCAGACCTGGGGCCTCATGTACTAAGACTTGCGTGGAAATCATACTAAAACATTGCGTACACACAAAGCTGTAAATGTGCGTACGCAGAAAAAAATTCAGATGTATGAAACACTGCGTATGCTGAATCTCACGCATATTCTTTTGTACATCTGAATGAATGTGAAACTGAGCGCAACATGCACGAGCGCAAAACCCCTCCCTGCCTCCTCCCCCGTATGAATATGCTAATGACTCTACTTTGGCAAAACCCAACGCAAAAGTAATGTCAAAAGCAAGCAAAATAAGAAACTTTGAACAGAATGTGAATTGGAGGTGCTGCTTTCGGAGGTAGACCGGAGAAAAGCGGTGTTATTTGCAAGTTTGTTCTCCGGAATTAACAACAAAAGAAAAAAAATAGAGTGGGAGAGTTTAGCTGATGCGGTTAAGACAGTTGGGTCTGAACATCGCACTGTGGAGTTAAAAGAGAAATAGTGTGATTTATAAGTGTAAAATGTTGCAGTACCCAAAACAGTATCAGTGGTGCAGCTCGTAAGACGCATGTCAACATGTTTTGACACGTTCGAGCTTGAACTCGGCTCGAATCCAGCGTCTGTTGAACTCGTTCTTTTTTTCCCCCGCTACATATCAGACTTTGCCAACTATTTATCACGAGAAAGACAAGTAGGAACCATTAATAAGTCTGTGCATCATATTTTATTTGCACATTTATTGAATGGAAATGTTTCTGATTCACGCATGCAAATTCATCTTCAGATAGTGTCTTTATAGCAATGTGCGTGCAGTAGATAGCTCAGATTACATTGGGAAAACAGGCGACCGCTGCAAATTGTGCTTTAATGTTTGGCTGGTCAACTGTATGGTATGGAAACCTTATATACCTGCTGAACCCGTCTCATACAGCTGCCATTGCAAGGCTCAGACACTTAGTAGAGAGGAATTTAACACAACTGCCTCTAGGAGTCGCCAATGGAAATAAAACAGACACGCACAAAAAATGTGCGTACGCCTGCCATGAAGCTGGCGTGGAGCTGCGCACATTCCCACGTTCAGTTCATCGTTAGTAAATCCAATTGTGAGCGATTCTGAGCGTGAAACCTGGTGTACGCAAAGTTTTTGTGCGTACGCAGCGTTGATACATGAGGCCCCTGGTCTTTCTTAGAATGCCTTCGTCTTTACTTCAAAATGTAAAACAATGTGAATAACATTTGTAGTTGTATACTATTAGGTTTTAACCGAGATTTTATAAATTTGTAACTCCACATAAGCATTTTATAAAGGCTTCATGCAAAGTGTTACCCACAGCGTAGTACAGTACAATGGATACGGCAACATTTGACCAAAATACATACAAATCTACTTTAATTGAAAAACGGTATATTATTACCTGATTTACACCCTTGTATTTCTCGTTTTTTCCCACTGTAGACCTGATGCCACTCAAAAAGGAGAGTCAAGATCAGAATGAAATTGAAGAGAAACACCAACATAAGAAAATACCTGAAGAACGAGAACAGAGGAAAACCTCTTCAGAAAGAACAGCCCAGAAGACCGAATCTAACACCTGCCATGAGTGTGGAAAGAGTTTCACTAGGAAACAATCCTTTACAAAACACATGAGAGTTCACACTGGAGCAAAACCCTACACTTGCAGTCAGTGTGGAAAGAGTTTCACTTGGAAACAAAACCTTACGATGCATATGATGATTCACACTGGAGAAAAGCCCCACGCCTGCCTGTACTGTGAAAAGAGTTTCATTAGTAAACAAAGCCTTACAAACCACATGGAGGTTCACACTGGGGGAAAACCTCACACTTGCCATCAGTGTGGAAAGAGTTTCACTTGGAAACAATACCTTACACAGCACATGAGGATTCACACTGGAGAAAAGCCTCACAGTTGTCAGCAATGTGGAAAAAGTTTCACTTGGACACAATCTTATAGAAATCATATGAGAAATCACACTAAAGAAAGGCCTTACGTTTGCCAACAGTGTGGGAAGAGTTTCATTTGGAAACAAAACCTTAAAAACCACATGAATGCTCACACTGGAGAAAAGCTGTACAGCTGTCAATACTGTGGCAAGAGTTTCACTTGGAAGCAAAGCCTTACAGACCATTTGAAGATCCACTCTGGAGTAAAGCCGCACAGTTGCCATCAGTGTGGGAAGAGCTTCATTTGGAAACAAAACCTTATTGAGCATATGAAGGTTCACAGTCGATGTGCATCATAGACGTCACACGATTATTGTTAGTGGCACAAATTGTAGTCGGACATATTTGATACCCGAGACAAAGTAGTGATTTACAAATTTACTTTTGACTCGCATTTCGTTGCAGACAACACAACAAACACTATTTAACATGTTCCTCGTGATTTTTATGTTTCTTTCTTTTTTTTTAAATAAACACTTTGTTTAAACAGTTGTGGCAGGAAAAGTTGTAATCAGGTAAATTCGTTAAAGGATGTGATGTGACAGGTGACTTTAATTATGATTTGGTACAAATGCAGCAACCAAGAAAGGTCTAGTCCAGGGGTGTCCAAACTTGGTTCTGGAGGGCCGGTGTCCTGCAGATTTTAGCTCCAACTTGCTTCAACACACCTACAAGGATGTTTCTAGAAAGCCTAGTAAGAGCTTGATTAGGTGTGTCTGATTGAGGTTGGAACTAAACTTTGCAGGACACCGGCCCTCCAGGACCTAGTTTGGACACCCCTGGTCTAGTCCTTTAGGAGCAAAGACGGGTAGATCAAATGTGACCCAGATCATCGTCACTGTGCTGGTTTTTGTTTACTGCACCGACAAATATGTTAGCATGATGCCAAACTACATCTGAGGCTGTAAAGATAATGACAGCATGTTTTAGGTCTGCCATTTGAACTCTCCACAGATCGTTAGCCCAATTCCCACCAAATTTGGCTCAGAGCATGCTGCCAAAAGGTTACAGAATTTCCCGTTGCTCTGTAGCTTGTTTAGGATGTGGCCGCTGGGCTGCTTGTCCCTAATAGTTGCTTTATTTAGTTTTTATTTCAATACTTTTTACTGTAGACTAGTTTCATTGACTGTTCTTAATTTAGTTTCTTCATTTATTGTGATTTTTTTTTTAAGTTAGCGTAAATTTTTTTGGACTAATAGTTTTAGATTATGTTTTTATTCAGTAAAATAACCTTGCTCCAACTTAATTCAAGTTTGGAATCAACTGATCAGATTCAGGACCATTGATTTCCCATAGACTGATATTGCCTGGGTTTCTTCAGGTCATATTTAGGTATTGTGTATAATTCGCATTAATGCGAGAGTCCTCCGGCCTTTGCTTGACATTTACTGCTAAACAGTGACGTAATCAGCAGTAAATCTTCAGCAAAAGCCAGAGGACCCTCTCCCTTGTGAGTGAGCAATGTGTAATGCTGCGTTCACACCAGACGTGGATGACGCATCAAGCTCCACTGATTTACATGTTGTACATGTTGACGTGATGTATATTAGAGGTGGGAGAAAATAACTGAGGTTAGATTCTCTAACAATCCTGAATCGATTCTGTGTTGAAATCATGATGTCATGAGCACATGCTCTAAGCAGAAGATATAAGCTTATGAATGTCTTAAACGTATCTACAAATAATTAGAAGAAAATGAGTTTCTTAAAGCTTGTGATAACCTTTTTTCTTAACGATTGAGGCTTTGTAAAGTTTTTTTGTTCTTCTCTTTAATACTTTTTTGTTATTGTATTTTCTCTTCAATGCAGTGATGTTATTATTTTTGTATTCAATAATAAAAGAGGATTTTGCACTCTTCATTTTAAGTGGTTATTTTTCCAGCAAGTCAGTGGCGTGTGTTGTGATTTTAGATACGGGACTTTTATCTCGGCGTGTCGGTGACGTCATCAGGCGGCGCCGCGCTCCTGTTTGTTGTGAATCTACTCGAGAAAGGTTTGTGTTTATAATCATTTTATCGATTATATAAATGTGTCCCGTTCAGGCAAGATTACAGCTGTTGAATGATTTATTCAGTAACGCCATTATTAGTGAATATATTGATGAATGTAATGTTTTATTAAGCGTTAATGAACGTTATTCTGCCTCTTCCACATCTGAATAACAGTAAAGCTGCGTTTATTTTCTGTCTTTATATCATAAATCAGTCTCTGGAGAACAGAGATGAGGACAAGAGACTTTTATTTTAAACTGAGACAAAGCCAGAGATCGAGTCATTTTCCTCTGTTAATGATGCTCTTCATCTTGTCCAAACCCACAGAACAGCAGATTATTATAAAGATGGCGTTTATTAAAGAGGAGAGTGAAGACATCAAGATTGAAGAAACATTCACAGTCAAACATGAAGAGACTGAAGAAGCTTTCAGAGTCAAACATGAAGATCCTGAGGAACAAACAGGTTGGTTTTCATCCTCAAAGCTCAACATTTGATCCTCATTCAGATCTGCAGCTCTACACTGATCAATATTTCTCAGTAAACTGCTTTATCTGACATCATATTCATCATATTTAACATCCGCTGAAGAGAACTTTGCACAGACGACCAACTTGTGTGATTAAACAGTCACACTTTATTTTGATGGTCTGCATGTTGAATGTAAGTTACACTGCATCTACATGCCAACTCATTCTCATTAGATTATCAGTAGACTGTTAGATTAGGGTTGGTGTAAGTTGACATGTACTTGCAGAGTTTCTTAAAGTCAGTAATTATCTGTTGAAGGAGCAGTATCAGCAGATATGAAGCAGACAGTTTACTAATACTCTAATAGACCATCAACATAAAGTACAACCATCAACACTGTTTAGGAGACGATTCGACTTTTACACATGATGAACCGATCCGAGCTGAAGTGCCAGGCAGAACTGAGTACTGATACTGGTTTGTATTTTGAGAGTGAAACATTTTAGGAAAGATGAAGTAATGTAACTCATTTATTTTCTTAACGTTAATCTGTTTTGATGCTTTATTTTTTATCTTGCACCTAAATCACAGAGTTCTGGTAACAAACCTGTTTCTGAACCTGCTGAGTTTATTACTTCTAAGAGACTGGTGTTTACAGTTGAAGTCAGATTTATTAACCCCCTTGTTTATTTTTTCCCCAATTTCTGTGTAACGGAAAGCCGATTTCTCCAACACATTTCTAAATATAACAGTGTTAATAACTCTCTGAAAACTGATCTATTTTCTCTTTGTCATGATGACAGTAAATAATATTAGACTAGATATTCTTCAAGACACTTCTATACAGCTTAAAGTGACATGTAAAGGCTTCACTAGGGTAATTAGGGTAACTAGGCAGGTTAGGGTAATTAGACAAGCTATTGTATAACGATGGTTTGTTCTGAAGACTATCGAGAAAATGTATATCTTAAAGGGGCTAATAATATTGACCTTAAATGGTGTTTAAATATTAAAAACTGCTTTTATTCTAGCCGAAATAAAACAAATAAGACTTTCTCCAGAAGAAAAAACATTATCAGACATACTGTGAACATTTCCTTGCTCTATTAAACATCATTTGGGAAATATTTAAACAAGAAAAAAAAATCACAGGGGGATGAATAATTCTCACTTTAACTGTATATATACTCTAGTCTAAACTACATTGCACTGTGAATACACAGATATACTGTATTAAAACAACAAATAACATGCATTTTAAAACATACATAACACAAACATATTGTAAGGTTGTAGTTAATACACCAGGTTTTGCCTCCACAAGTCATTAATGCTGATAAAACATTTTTGCATGATCTTCTTTCATGTGATACGTTTCTGATCTTTTGCATTGTAGTTTTATTTATTTGAAGGTTGACTTTTTTTCTATTAAAAACACTTCTTTTATTGGTCGGATGAAATATGCAAATTTTTTGAGATTGGAATTTTGGGTTTTCATGAGCTGTATGCCAAAATCATCAAAATTAAAACAATAAAAGGCTTTGAACAACTTCAGTTGTGTGTAATGAATCTAAAATATATGAAAGTCTAATGTTTATCAGTACATTACAGAAAATAATGAACTTTTTCATAATATGCACATTTTTTGAAAAGGACCTGTATATAGAGTTCATGGAAAGTGTTATCCACAGCATAGTACAGTACAATGGACACGGCAACATTTTACCAAAATACATACAAATCTTGTATCTACTTCAGTTGAGAGAATGGTATGTCGTTATCTGATTTACACCCAAGTATTTGTCATTTTTCTCCACAGAAGATCTTATGCCACTCAAAAAGGAGAGTCAAGACCAGAATGAGATTGAAGAGGAGGATCAACATGAGAAAATATCTGAAGAAGAACCAGAACAGACAAAAACCTCCTCAGACAGAACAGCACAGATGACCGAATCTAACACCTGCCATGAGTGTGGAAAGAGTTTCACTAGGAAACAATCCTTTACAAACCACATGAGAATTCACACTGGAGAAAAGCCTTACGCTTGCCAACAGTGTGGAAAGAGTTTCACTTCTAGACAATATCATAAAAACCACATGAAGGTTCACACTGGAGAAAAGCCCTACACCTGCCAACACTGTGGAAAAAGTTTCACTCGTAAAGAATCCTTTACAAACCACATGAGAATTCACGCTGGAGAAAAGCCTTACACCTGCCTGTACTGTGAAAAGAGCTTCACTTGTAAACTAAACCTTAAAAACCACATGATCGTACACACTGGAGCAAAACCTCACACATGCCATCAGTGTGGAAAGAGTTTCACTTGGAAACAATACCTTGCCGAGCACATGAGGATTCACACTGGAGAAAAGCCTCACAGTTGTCAACAATGTGGAAAAAGTTTCACTTGGAAACAATCCTATAAAAGTCATATGAGAAATCACACTAAAGAAAGGCCTTACGTTTGCCAACAGTGTGGGAAGAGTTTCACTTGGAAACAAAACCTTAAAAAACACATGAATGTTCACACTGGAGAAAAGCTGTACAGCTGTCAATACTGTGGAAAGAGTTTCACTTGGAAGCAAAGCCTTACAGACCATTTGAAGATCCACTCTGGAGTAAAGCCGCACAGTTGCCCTCAGTGTGGAAAGAGCTTCACTTGGAAACAAAACCTTATTGAGCATATGAAGGTTCACAGTCGAGAGTCTGCTAAGGGGACAGAGTTTCAGATATAAACCACTTTTTGATTCCCACGTGATGCTTCATAATAGACAAAAGCCTGAAATTGGAAGGAGAAAGTAAATCAGTGATTAGTGTTGAGTTTCATATACAGGAATCATGTAGTAACTCACACCAGAGGAAAGTCCTAAAATCGTTCACATGTGAGCCCCAAACCCAGGCCTGGCTCCAGGGTGATTGTCCCGTTTGAGCCATATTGGTCCTCAATTTTGTTGTACTCATAAGAGGGGTTTGAACCACACTTAGACCTGTTAACTAGGACCACTTTGGCTTGGGAGACAATAGCAGAGGCGTTTAATCCCAGACAACACCGCTTCTAACATCATTCAGGCACTAAAACCCCTACAACACGATAAGGTGCCATTTCAAGGAGAGGTAGCGCTGAATTAATCTACTGATCTAGAGTTTTCTGTCAGAAAAAAGAGACGGGCATACATGGAGAAACTGCCACCTGTAGAAAACTCTCAGTAGACAATTCCAGAAACATTTGTAATGTGTTATGCAGCTTCATGAAGACATTGTGCATCATAGACGTCACATGATTATTGATTGTGTGGGCTCAGGACTACTGCGACAAACTTTTGTCAAATCCACAGTTTGTAGTTACATCTACACATGCCATTGAAAACTGTACCGTGCCAAAAGCAAGCCCTATGTTAACAGTGATTAAAAGCACCGTCGACTTCTCTGAGTTTTGGCCTCTGTCACTTGTGTGATATATCGTTTATTCAACAGTTTGACGGCATAATTGTGTATTCAAAAAAAGAAAATAAAACTAGAGTCTATAAACCCTTTTGTATGAGGAACTATTTTCTTCGCCTGTTCATTCACATCTGCAGCTGAGGTCAGAACAGCAGAAAACAGCAGAAAGTGTTTGAATGATTCTCTAGCGTAATGTCTAGAGTAATGAATAATCAGCTGATCTGGCTCACATTATAAGATTATAGGGCTGAACAGCATGAAATGCCATCAGTCTACAGATTTCCCAGCATTTCTCTGTTGTAATCGGAGTGTCACAATAATTAACCCCGAAAAAGCCAAAGCAAACACTAGCAGATTACTGTTGTGCTTGCGATAAGGAAAAGTGCTAAACACATGCGTGCGTTTCTTCTGTCTGTTTACTGAACTATTCTGCAGTAACGAAACCCTTCCTCTTACCCCTACCCCTCGTTTTGCACATTCACGTCAAGGAATAGGGGTGTCCCAATTCTCTTTAGCTTGAAAGCGTAGGGCTAAGGGTAAAAGGTAAATACCACTCTGTATGAAGATTTTTCAGGACCACACTCGAAACCAAGTGGTAAGAAAATTTCCCAGAATACACCAGCCACAATGACAGAATCTCTGCACCCGGATGTAAGGAGATCCCAATATTATTATTTTTTGGTCATTAATACAAATTCTTACAACAAACAAGCACATGTTTTAATATATTCATTACCATGATCTTGTTTTACCTTCATGCTTGAAAATAAATGCTAAAATAAAAACCTCTAAATTTGCCGATCTATAATCCCTAACAATACCTTGAGTGACAGTCGAATACAGTGTTGCCAGGTGTATGATAATTATCATATTTGTACGATAATTTCGAAATCTGTACGATGTACGATCAATAATGAGAAAAATCCTATAATGTACGATAATTTCAGAATTTTATGGCATTTAAAAGTAATTTCATTGTAATCTTCGGGCTTCTTTCTTTATTGATCTAGCTGCATCTTTTCTGTACTGTCTGTGAGGAGTAGGTGGAGTTAGGCATGTTTTCTGTCTCATCTTACGTTGCCCCTTCTCAGCCAATCAACGCGGAGAATGGCTCTCTCTCTCAGGAGTTAACGCTCCTGCTGCCCGTGTTTAGGTCAGTAGTTTTCAGTTTGAGGTCGATCTTATAAGCAATAATATTAAAACAATTCATGCTGTGAAGGAAGGTGAGAAGGACAGGGGAGTTTTCCCCTTATGTTCTCGTTTTTCCCCCTTCAAATGCGTCATGTGAATGTGTTTTTTTCCAAAGTTAGTCTCATCAAAACAAAGCAAGCACACCTCAGAGTGTGCACTGCTTTCAAGCCAACCAGCACTATTTTGCAGTCCATGACGGCATCCAATTTGTACAGCAAAATAAATCCCTCAACATCTGGCAACATGCAACATTCAATGACAGCAACTCGGAGGTGGAGTTTGAACCTTCCACTAAGGTACCTATTTTTTTTTTATGGTATTGTGGTAATTTGCACGTTGTGTCAAAATGCTATGTGTCTAGATAATAGCTGTATACTCTCAGTTTGACTTGTGTATGATAATTTTCCTCCAAATACGATAATTTTGAGGATCTGGTACGATACTTTGACATTTCCAATCTATCAACACTGGTCGAAAACCCTCTGGGTAATGTCTAGTGGCTGGGAATGAGCTGTTTACATTGTCTGCTATAATGTTAATGTTGTTTTTGGTGTGTTTACATGATGAATATGGCAACTGTGTAAAAGTAGAAATGGGATTGGGCCTAACTCGGGGTTAAACAAAGAGTAGCCAACACAAAACACACACATTCCTTAGATGCAATCCCATCTCACACTCAACACAGTTTATGGTTACCCATAAATCTATAGTACCAATAATGAAGGACATGTTCAATTATTTGAAGTAAAAACAAAAGTCAATAGGAATGTTAGCAAACTTTATTCACTAAATGTGATGTTTTTTCATTCATTTTTTCATGCATTTAACAGCATTCTTGTTGTAAAAGTGCATACAGAGCACACACAGAGGACATGATTTATGCAGTGTTGAAGCATCAAGCAGAGGGGCATACACGACTTTTCAGCAGTAATAAATGTGTTCACTCCAGGTTACCGAAAAGAAGTGAAATAATGCACTTGTGCATGTTGGTGCTCTGAGGATCACTGACAAATAGCATGTCCATCTGAGGACTGCAGGCTTGGTGAGGGGTCTATTTTCCCTAGTTGTGCCTTGACATCTTCATACTCCTTTTGCCATTCCTCCTTGGAGAGAGAGGAAGGACTGACCTCCAGGAACTTGTAGGCATCTTTGGCTTGGAGCTTAAAGATGACAGAAGCTTTCTGACAGCCTGCACCAAAACTGCTCCAAGCCTGTGAAGGTAAAACAATTGCAAAAGACATCATAAGACCTTTAGATTAAACAAGTCGAGGGAACATTGTAGAATATCTTACAGATGTTGTTAACTGTCTTTACCTCTATGGCTGCGGTGATTGATTTAAGAAATTCATCTTTTAGCTCTTTAAGGTCTTCAATAAGATCTTCTCCAACAAAGGTCCTTTGTTCTAGGTAGTCCAGCATTTGAGCGACGCTCTCCCAGAAGTTTTTGAGCTGAATCAGAATTTCCTGAATTTTGGTCAAGCTGCCCTGCACCTCGCTTAGATGGATGGGGTCAGGTATGGAACCTGCAAAAGGGAAATACAGATGTTTCAACAACTCACTCTATCTTCAGCTAGCCTTGAATTAGGCACCTGTTCTAGAGGCAGGTCCTAAAATTATCACTCGCCAAGTGCCGGATGTGAGTTCATCTAAGCACTGGCGAGTATTATAGCACTGTCCGTCACCAGTTGGGGGTTGCATATGTAACGGAGGCCAGCTAGTGTGTGCTGTGCAGGTAAACCTCACTCCTCTGACCTCTAAAGGTGCTCTAGTGACAGATGCTAGAGGCCATGGTCTTTAGCCTCCTTGGTAGAGCGGCCGAATCCCATGCGGAAGGTTGCCGGTTCGAAACCAGCTCGGAACGGGTTGGGTGGTGTAGAGCCGGCGGGGTTACACATGTTTCTTTTTATGACTTACAAAGCAACGTAGTGAAAATTACAGCCGTTTTTTTAAAGACCACCTATCTGACCCCCCAACCCCCCCCCACCTTGTATTTTTTTTAAAGATATAACACGTCATTTTTGTCTCCAGAATGTGTCTGTAAAGTTTCAGCTCAAAACAGCCCTCAGATTATTTATTAGACCTTTCAGAATGTTGGAATTGTCTGCTGTGAACACACTGGAGCTGTTTTTGTGGCCTGTGTGTTTAATGCTGGTTCTCCCTGCCCACCGTTCCCACAAGCCTGTTAAAGTTTGCCTCAATCTCCACCTCAGCTGTGTCAGATAAACAGCAGAGTGACAGACATGAAGGAAGCAGATCTCTCGTAACGTTTGTGAGAAATACCACAGTAAGAACTTTCTTAATGATTATTTGATGTATTTGTTGTGGTGTCAACTCAAGTGGCAAATATGACAGAATACAGGTTAATATCCACTGCTGTAGGGATAACCATCCAGCTGGGTGGTGTGATGACCACTGTGGTAAAAACTATAAACTTGATCCGTGTGAGAGCACTCAATCACAGAGAATTTTGGCCATTTCTATCTGAATTGAATGCAGAATATGGCGACATAATATATCACTGTAACGTGCGGTGGCTAGGTCGCGGCTCTGTACTGCAGTGGTTTTATTCCCTGAGGTCTGAAATTGACCAGTGAAAAAAAAAAAAACTGACACACAACTTGGTGACCCTGACTGGCTGGCACACCTTGCATTTTTAGTCCTGCAAGGCAAAGACCAGCTGATTTCAGAGATGTACATGCATTTGAAATCCTTTTACTGTGAAGCTCCGTCTATTTGAGAGACAAATTTGTGACTAATGTCGTGCATTTCCCTACTCTGTCCGAAGTCATTACGAGTTATCCTGATGCCATCATACAGGGGAAAATTAAGAAATACGCAACAGCACTCCCGTCCCTCATTACAGAATTTAATCTCAGTTTTCACAATGTTTCCGCTATGGATAATGACATTAAGCTGTTCTCAACCCCTGTCTGTATTAACGTGGAGGAAGTACAAGAGAGCATGCAGCTGGAACTCATTGAAATGCAGTGCGATGATTCTCTTCGCAGTCGCAACCAGCTTCTTTCGAAGTCTGAGTTTTACAAGAGTTTGGATTTATCCTAATTTCCCTTCGTGAAACGCCAAGCATCAACCAAAGGATTAAAGTCTGTTTGGCTCCACATATATATGTGAGAAAACATTTTCACTGAAGAATCTAAACAAAAGTTAATTAAGAACCAATCTAACTGACAGCTATTTCGTGATTTGCTACGTATATTTACTACGCGACTTACTCCTGACTTGGCATAAATTCTGAAATCTAATTTTTAATTAATCATTTAAAAGTTGAAACGGTAGGCCAGAGTCACAGTGGCAGGCCAGATTGACCGTCAGGCCACTGGGAAATGTCCCGGTGCTCCCTGTGTCCAGTCCGCCCCCGGTAGCAACTCCACACAATTACGATGCAGTTTGCGAATGTTTGTTGGAATGGCAAAATTGCTAAACTACAATTGTAACAACGTAACTTGTGACCTTTGGTTATAGAAAACACACCCCAGGTTTGATCCACCCTTAACTGTGCTTTCATTTTGCGTTTGTGTTCATCATGGGCAAAGAGGAAAATAAGATTTTAAAAAAAGCAGACATGGCAACCAATGAAAAAGGAATTTTTATTACCAATTCCAATAAATAAATATTAATTATAGTAACCCCATGCTTTGTTTTTTTTTTTTTGCATATATAATAGTGTTTAGTAATTAGTGTTGCCAACTTAGCGACTTTGTCGCTAGATTTAGTGACTTTTCAGACACCCCTAGCGACAAATTTTCAAAAAAGCGACTAGTGACAAATCTAGCAACTTTTTTTGCTACTGGAGATTTTTATAGACTGTCATTTGTCCATACTGTACCGTCCCTACTATTCTCAACGAGCTGCGTGTGATGCCGCCAGCCCCTCCCCCGCCTTACAGCAATGACAGGTGGCCGTCAGTCCTCGTACAGCAGCTTCTCCCACCTGCAGCCCGAGAGCAGATCACCCCTCTGCGAACTGACAGGAAAGGATTTTTCCTTTTCACAGTCAAACCGATCTGCTTCTGCTTTATTTTAACTATTTAATTTGGCTGATTCTTTTCTTGTTCACAATTTCAGGTATTTAGTGACCGTTTCAGAACTTTTCTGAATTTATTACATCTGAGAGATTGCTGCAAATTCAATACACATCTATAATAATATACTGTATTCAAACAGCAATAAATTGTGTTAAATTAACATGCTTATATAAAGCATAGTACAAATTAATACCCCTTTATTAACCATAGGCTGTTAAACAACAGAAATGGTAGAACGTGATGACGTTAGTAATATGCAAATTGACATATGACGTAATCTAGCGACTTTTCATTGAAAATAGTTGGCAACAGTGTTAGTAATTGTGCAACCATGAGTTAAGGTATGGTGTGGTAATCAGAATGTGTGTAAATGTGTAGTTTTATGGCGGGTACTTTTTTAACATCACTGGCAGGTTTAGCAAAAAGTTAGTTTTAGGCTGTGCATACAGGTAGACATGAAAGAGAGAAAGAAAAAAAACACTCACTCCGGTCAAAACTGGCTTTGGCAGCCTTCATCTGCCAGTCAATCGTCTGGAGCTGGAGCTGCCACTGCTTTTGTTTCAGAGCGGTTTTATCAGCAATCAGATTATTCAACTCTGCCTCAAGTGCCTTCATTTGCGCAGCTTGTTCGGGACTCTTTACAGCATCATAAATGCTTTTGATGATTAGCCCAACAAATGGCACGATTGCAGCGAAGATGCCGAGGCCTTTGCTGGTTTGGCTTATGGATTTGGCAAAGGCTTGAATCTCTTGAGTTTTGTCGGTAATTTTCTTCTCAGTTTGAGCAAGTTCCGCGTTAGTGTTTTGGAGATCAGATTTCAGCACATTCAGAGTGTTTTCAATCGCATTCAGCTCCTGGTCTTGCTCTGCAATCTTTTTGTCTGTATCTGATTTTTCCTTGACAACATCACTAGCGGACGATGCTATATCTTTGGTGTGTAACTCATACCTACAGGATATGAAAGAAATGTTGCAGTGATTAATTCGCAATGTTCTCACATAAGAAAAGTAATACTTTGTCTGAAAAAAATGTATTCTTTCAAATGACTGTAGTTGCCTCTAGAGAATAAATTGAATTGCTGTGTGTTTTGAAATGTTTTGTGAGGAGAACGCTCTTACTTTTCCACAATCCTGTCCACATCCTTGATTAGGTCTTTGATCCAGTCTCGTGCCTTTGCCAGGTATTTGACAGCCAAAACTGGCTTATTTTTTTCTACAGCTGTTGTCAACATGGGAAACAGCGACTGAACCAGGTTTTCACTGGTCAAAATACACTGCAAGAAGGAAGAGACATGAAATCAATCGTAAGGGTGTAGATGGCACTTCAGAAACATAGTGGAGAATGAACCACTGTCTGCAGTACTGTTGTTCTCAAAACATCTCATTGCCTGTATTTGTCATGGAAAATAAATGCTCAATGATCTGTAAAAATGTCAATCAATGTAAATGTCTTTCTATTTTAAAGTTTAACATTATAAAGATGTAAGACAGGGGTCACCAATCTTGTTCCTGGAGGGCTGGTGCCCTGCAGGGTTTAGCTCCAACTTGCCTCAACGCACCCACCTGGGTGTTGCAAGTATCCGCTTGTTAAGTGTGACGTCACGCGAAGCGGCTTCCGGGTCCAAGCGCTCTATTCACCTGAATGAGGAGACTCATGAAATGGTAATAATATATGTTTACAAAGCGATTGAATGCTTTCGAAAATCACGATGGCAGTATATATGCCTATGCCTAATATCCGATGGCCAGGAAGTAATTAATTTTTTATAAACTGTTAAATTTTTGGTGTTTGTTATGCAGCAAGCCCAGGGATTGTTGTGTACACTATGATTTTATATAAAATTAACTTTAATGTGTGTTAGGAATAAAACGTGATCATAAACGAATGATTTCTCCACTCAAATGAATGGCGGCCTGGACCCGGAAACAGTATTACATACGTCACAAACACGTCACCACTTAACAAGCGGATACCTTGTAAGACCTTGATTTGCTTGTTCAGATGTGTTTGATTAGGGTTGGAGCTAAAATCTGCAGGACACCGGACCTCCAGGAACAAGTTTGGTGACCCCTGATGTAAGAGATGCGTGTGAAATACACAAGACACAAAACTCTACTTGATGTGTACAAACTCTTGAGCGGTCTGATCTTAAAGGTCAGTTAAAGTGAAAATGGATCACATTGCACAACATTGAATATTTATGTCCTGTGATGGCATAGGCACAGCATTAGACCCTGTTGATTTCTGACAATCACTGACTTGGTATGATATAATCTAGCGGCTAAACCAAACTTTCTTTATGTATGAGCAAGCATGGGGTGGCCTAATACCACTTTACAGTTAAATCTAAAAACCAGAGCTGGCGATGATGTGTGATCAGCTTGAATTGGATTAATTTAAATTATTATAAATTGTTGGAACCAAATAAATAAAAATTAAGTTTATCAAGTAGAAATATGTCTTTTCACATGTGCTATAAAGGCTTACACACATTTAACCCTCACCCATGCCGTTAGTTCTGTCATTGGGCTAATAGATGGACCCTTACAAAAGAGGCACCCTTACAAGTTTAGCTAGATTAGGTATCTTGCTAAAAAAAATCAATCAAATGCTGTGGTATTCACCACCCACTCTTTCATCTGGTGAAATTTCCCCATTCGTTTTTTGTTTTGTTTTTCTCTGAGTGACACAAATGAAAATACTAAAACCAAAAGGAAATCACAAAAGGAAACAGTACTTTCAATATGGCTGCATCAGAGGACCCAAAGAGGAGCTGGGTTTCCACAGCCCGACTCCTGATGATCCTCTCCAGGTTGGGGAAGTTGGCCAGGCACAGGTAAGAGAGATGGTACAGAAGGGCCGTCTTTTCAGCCGCAGGGAGAAGGTCTTCTACAAACGAAGGGCTCCATTGGGTCACAGCCACTGGTGAGAAACAACAACAGGTTTGTTTTGCTGGTGAAGGTGTTGTTTTTTGTGGCATGTATAATGTCTTTGTTTATATATTATTAATAGCTGTTTTTGCCTCCAAGAAAACTTTCTTCTTGGGGAGACAAATTAAGGGTGCTTTCACACCAGTGAATCGATTCAGTTGTTCTGAAACAGAGATTACAATTGTTACATTGTTGCTCTTTGCTCTTGGAGCGGTTCACTTTCACACTGCAAAGTTTCTAATCGGACCAAAAGAGCTAAAACAAGTCACGTGCGAGTAAACTCTCCTCACATTGGTCAGAGTGTCAGGGTTTATTTTGCAGCGTCCCGCTCAGCTGTCAGGAGAGGTGGTGGTTTGGTGGTGATTGACAGGGTGCGCGCGCGTGACGTGTCTGAGGAGAGACACGGTGGGGAGGGGTGAGAAGGGTGCGTGACGATGCCTATTTGAGGACATACGAGGACCGGGAGAGAGACGCGAGAGTACCGGGAGATCATCACTCGTTTGCGGGCATCCGGAGACTCGCGAAACTTCCCGCCCTACTCATAATTCTCTCTTCATATAGCCGTAAGCCTATTACATATCCATAAAACACTGTGATATAACCGCGCTCGGATCGGATCGCTTTCTCACTGCAATCGAACCGCTCCAGGGTTCGTTTCAATCGAGCCGAGACCACCTCATTCAAGCCATCTCGGAGCGATTACTTTGGCGCGGAACAGAGCGTGATTGCCCTGTTCACATATGCCAAACGAACCACGCTAACTGGGCAAACGAGATACGTTCCGAAACAAAAGTGTAGGTGTGAAAGCAGCCTAAGATAAAGATTGAGATTGAACAACCATTTCATATTTTTATAGACTGAAAATATTTCCTCGTTGTTTGTCAATCATTTAAAACCTGGTTGATGAAAAAGGTACTACTTACGTTTGCTATCAGCCATTTTCAGTAGGTTTACACAAAAACGTGAGTAGAAAGTTCTCCCTAAATGTACTGAAAAGGCAGAACAGTTAAGTATGATTTAAAAAATCTCACACGGTGATTACAAAAATGTTAAGCGAAACTGTCCTGAGAGGGTTTCACAGCTGTCGGTATAAAATCACCACTTACCTTGGTCTCAGTATCATGTACTGAAAACCTTTTAAGTGATATAGAGAACAAGATAAGTGGTCATTTTATACAAAAAAAATGCGCAAACCCTCCCACCACCCACACCCAAATCTAAATAAACGCTGATCAATTCAAAGTCCAGTTCCAGGGAAAAGACTGTTGTATGGGATGTGAGTCACAGTCTTTGCATTTGTTGGCCAATGTTTTGCCAGCAAGCACACTAAAGGAGTGTTTGGCATGTATGCTTCTCTTTAATACGACTATTATTAAAGTTAAATTTGTGTTTAAGGGACTAGTTTATTGACTTTATTCTGTAATATGAAAATTAGCTCGTTTTAACTTTGGCCGAAAAATGCAAAACAAAAGTGTAAACCGCTTTTACGAAGCTCAAGACAAATGTACATTTAGGGAAACATTTTTACTTGTCATAAGACACAATTACATAGGAAAAAAACATTTTACCATGGACAAAACAAATTTTCAAGACGAGAACACTTTTACCAGTCCCGAAACTAATTTTAAATGACAGATTCTTTACGGTAAGGGAATTGCAGAAGCCATTTGGCAACTGTTCATTGTTCCACTAGGTGGTGCTATTTAAACAGGCTTTATACAGGGGAATGAATATTCAGGTAACCTGTGTTGCTAGACGGAAGGGAGCACATACAGTTTTAAATGCACGCACACACTTACGCGCACACATATTCACACACACAAACACACACACATTCACACAGAGAGCCACACACACACTTAAGCCTGGTTTATACTTCTACGTCAAGTGACCTTTGTAACCCACGGCGCAGGCAACGCGCGTAGCTGTGTATTTATACTTCTGCACGCTGTCTCTGTTGGTCTGCATTAACACTTCTGAAACGCTAGTTGGTAGTGAGGTGTTAATGTGTCTCTGTGTTGAGTTTCTTCGCTGCTGTTTTGTTCTTTCTGAACGCTTCCGGGATGTACAAGTGGCTCAAACTCGCTCATTTTGAGGCAGGAACCGGCGGACGTGCAACAACTTTAACTATGAGGTAAACACAAAACAAAACTTTCCGTCCTGAACTCATTCACGGGACTCCACACTTGTAAGCAATCGCTCCATTGGGCTAGCACGGCTCTTGGTCCCGCCCAGACTCGTCAGTGCTACCAAGCCGACCAATCACAGAGCTTACGCTACGTTGCGACGTGTAGTTAAATTTTTTGAGAGGTGCACGTCAGCGACGCCGACGGCCATGGCGAAGGGCTATGCGTCAGCGCCGTAGCATACGTGTGTGCTTGACGCAAAAGTATAAATCAGCCTTTACACACAAACGCACACACATTCATTCACGCTTTAGCGTGACGGTTTGTTTTGTTTGTTTGTAAGTCACGATACGTGGCAGTGTTTGATGTTTACAAACGGAAATTCACCTGGAAGGAAACGTGTGAACTACTGCAGTTTGCAACTGCAATAAACATAAATATCCATCGAAACAAGTAAGACTTGTTACTGCGTTTACACTTCATCAGCCAGAGGACAGTGGGCGTCAGCTGGGTGCCTGTCTAACAACATCTCAGGGACTTCAAGCAATGGGCTTAGCCTTTAAAGGAATGTACTGTGCCATTGCTACAGAATGTCTGTAGCGGACCCACCCTCACAGAACCAGGCCGCTAAGGTAAAGTCTTATGTGTGGGAAGATCTGGTGTTGAATTAGGTATCCCACTGGATGCACCAAACCGAATTGAGGCTCGCACGATGTGCACTACGTCGCCATTCAGTGCCTTGTGTTGCTTAGCAGCGTATACAAAACAATGTAAAGATCGCTTGACGTGAAGTTAATAAACCAGTAACGTTAGACATGTGCTGTTGTTGATCGCGTCAGCGTGTGCTACAGTCACAATAGATTTCTATCGCAATACACCATAACTTATTATGTTAAATCTTAGAGACTTTGCTTGCAAGCAGTGTTGTGATCACGTGGGCTTTGCACTCTGGCTCTGGACGCTGCTGGATAGAATAGCTTTAACGGAGTTAAGAGCGAATCGGACTGCTTATATCGGAGACTTTTTACGCAGTCCGATATAGTTTTTTGAACTGATATCGGACGAATTTCCGATATCAATATCGGATCGGGACATCCCTAACAATTACATAGGAAAAAACATTTTACCATGGACAAAACAAATTTACAAGACAAGAACACTTTTACCAGTCCCGAAACAAATTTACAATGACAAATTCTTTATGGTAAGGGAATGTACTGTGCCATTGCTATCTCTGACCATGCCTTTATTAATGATTCATACTTGACAGATAATGTCCCTGGTGTTTAAATACGCTACTTCTTTCAGATGAATCATTTATTAACTTTCTATCCTCTAAGATAAAAATATTTCTTAAACACCGAAAACATTTTATCATTAGTAATATGGAAAGGAATAAAATTAGTCTAATGCTTCTTTTGAATTATATATATATATATATATATATATATATATATATATATATATATAATGTGTGTGTGTGTGCTCATGCTTATTATGCATATGTGTTTGCTTGAACCATGATAGTCTAATGAGTCCCCGTGTAATCCCGCTGATCCTATGCCACCCAACACTCTCCAAGCTGGTATCGAACCGGTGATCTTCCGCATAGGAGTCGGTTGCTCTACCAAGAAGGCTAAAGACCATGACTGTGTCTGTCGCTTGAGCACCTTTAGAGGTCAGAGGAGTGAGGTTTACCTGCACAGCACTTCACTCGCTGGCCTCCGTTACACTCAACCCCCTAAACCTCACTTTCATCCGGGTAACCCCGCCAGTCCAACACCACCCAACCCGCTCCGAGCTGGTATTGAACCGGCGACCTTCCGCATGAGAATCGGTTGCTCTAACAAGGAGGCTAAAGACCATGGCGTCTAGTGTCTGTTGCTAGAGCACCTTTACAGGTCAGAGGAGTGAGGTTTACCTGCACAGCACTTCACTCGCTGGCCTCCGTTACACACGCAGTGATATGATGAGACATTCTGTTTGACCTTAGAATGAGACAGGAACTTTTCAGCCCTGTCCTGTCAAATAACTGAATCTGTAGCAAACAAGTCTTGCAGGAAGTTCTGGGTTACAGCGGTTGTGCAACGTGTGACTTTTATACAGAAAGGAGAACTGGACTGATGAGGAAAATATTGCTTTAATGTCTGACTATTCACTCTTTTCTGTTGATGTGTTTTTGTTAATGGAGGAATATACTTCCATTTGCCTCACCATTCATTCTTTACTATGTGTTTTTGTCAGATATGATGATGATGTATAACCGTTTTTCCTGATACAGCGTTTTTTTTTTTACTTAAGCCCTGTTGTAATGTGTTTCTAACTAACTGCTAAATCCACGAGAGCTGTGTGTGGGTGTTGGCTTCCCCTAGGCGGGTACATAGACAGGTCAAGAGTTCATAGCCTAGAAAGAAAAGCAGATGTGGATAGATGCAGCATCTTTTGACTGTTGTGTGTATATAAACAGTTGAAAAGTATTATTAATTAACAATATATATAAAGGAATTAAAGAATAAATATTAAGACCCTAAAAAATATCTTAATTAAATAAACAAAAATAAATTTTTAAAGTGCAAAATAAAGGTCACTTCAGTTATAAATTTTTTTAAAACTTTTTTTAAAAAGGTCAAGAGTTCATAGCCTAGGTTGTCGTGGGGGCACTTCAGATAATTTTGGAAGGGCACTTTCTATCCAAGGGCATGTGCACTAGACCAGTTGAGTCCTATGTGTGCACGTGCCTGCCGGAATATACCAGCTCGTGTGTGACTTTGTAGACACAGGTTACCACCAGTCTACACCAATAAGTCATGGTTTGACCAACTGCGATAAAACATATTAGCGCTATTCTGAGAAAATATCAGCGTGAGAGGCCAGTACTTGAAAACAATCACAGCACGGCGCATGTTGACTGATAAAGATACCAAAACCGACCTCAACCTGTACACCTTAGTTGCTCACTTAGATATGTTTATTGATACTCGTAAAGAACCTTTAGACTTGGGTTCAAATCCCATTGATGACATGTCAATGATAATTATTTCTTTACATTAATTTTGGTTATATACTGTTCTGCCACACAAATATTAAAATCAATAATGTTTACACTGACACCAAGCAATAGGAATATTTATTTGGTGTGGGCATGTTTTGTTGCTGTGAGAAAGTGACGAGTCTGCAAACGTAAGTAGCTTATATCTCAAAAGGCGCCTCAGTTGACCAGTTAAACCGTAACACAGGCTTCATTCAGTTAACTTTAAAGAGTCCTCAAGCAGATGTTTACACCATGTAGACTTGACATCATGTCCATGATTACAGCGTACGAGTGGCCCTCGTTAACATATTGAACACATTGAAGCAGTATGTCTGGTGTTTCCGTCTGTTCCGTGTCCTATTTGAAACACCAAACACCGACCACACGTTAAGCAAAACCGTGTTAAGCTGCTTACGTGTTTGCCACAAAACGGGCAGGTAAACCTCACTCCTCTCACCTCTAAAAAAAGGTGCTCTTGCGACAGATGCTAGAGGCCATAGTCTTTAGCCTCCTCGTGAGAGAAACTGACTACCATGCTGAATGTCGCCGGTTCGATACCAGCTCGGAGCGGGTTGGGTGGAGTAGGACTGGCGGGGTTACACCTAATTACCCTAACCTGCCTAGTTACCCTAGTGAAGCTTTTAAATGTCACTTTAAGCTGTATAGAAGTGTCTTGAAGAATATCTAGTCTAATATTATTTACTGTCATCATGACAAAGAGAAAATAAATCAGTTATTAGAGATGAGTTATTAACACTATTATGATTATGTGAAGATAATCTGCTCTCCGTTTAACATAAATGGGGGGAAAATTAAACAGGGGGCTGATAAATCAGTCAACAGTTTGGGGTCAGTATGGTTTTATGATAAAGAAGTGTTGGATATATGATAGATAAATGCTTTAAAATAAG